ACCTGGTTAATTTTTATATTTTTAGTGGAGACAGGGTTTCCCCATGTTGGCCAGGCTGGTCTTGAACTCCTGGCCTCAAGTTATATGCCTGCCTCAGCCTCCCAAAGTGCTGGGAGTACAGGCGTGAGCCACTGCACCGGGCATCCACCCTCTTTGTAGTCATTTTTGAACTCCATGGGTGAGGGACAGAGCACGAGACTTGGGTGGGGGGATCCATGGTGTAGGTCCTTCCTGGGGGCCTATCTGCACCCGGGACCCCAAGCAGCCTCTTATGGCCACAGAATTCTGTGTCCCGCCAGTCTGCTTTGCTGCATTCCCAAGCATGTCCACATGGACACACCCTCCCTAGGTGTCAAACTTCAGTCTCGTGACACAGGAGTGGCAGTGAGGGTTGGGGAGAGGAGGGCGGGCAGTGGGCAGTGCAGGTGAGGCAGACCCAGCTTTCGATTCTCTGGGGAGGGCTGAGAGCTGTCTCATGTTCTCTTCCCTCCCCTGCCAGACCGAGGGAGCTGGCCGTGCGACTGGGCTTCAGGCCCTGTGCAGAGGAACAGGCCTTCCTGAGCAGGAGGAAGCAGGTGGTGGCCGCAGCCTTGCGGCAGGCCCTGCAGCTGGACAGAGACCTGCAGGAGGACGAGGTTTGGGGGCTGGGCTGGATGGGGTGTCCCCGGGCTTGCTTGTTCAGTGCTGAACACTGGAGCTGCTTGTCCCTGATCTAGACCAGAGTTCGCAGCTGCCTGTCCCCACCCTGCTTCCTCTCGCCTGGCGTTAGGAGGGACTTGGCCCAGGCAGTGTTGCTTGAGGTGCCTGGAGCCCACACGGGAGCTGCCTCGTAGGGCTGGCTTTCCTACTCTGTTTCCTGGTTCTCAGCCTAGCCTGTCTGAGGAGTGAGACAGATAGCTGGCATGAGGTCTGTTGGTCCTGGGTTGCCTCAGGAGGTTCATATTAGCCTGGGCCATCTCCTGGGGGAGTGATGGCAATTTGGGAAAATTTTAAGGTGGGCCCTGGGTCTTCCAGAAAGTGAGCATCAGACTCGGGGGCTGAGGGCGAGGAGATGAGGCTCAGAACTTGCCTGGGCCATTTTTTCCTGGAGCCCTTAGGACTGGAGGAGCTGGGCGCTTACTAAGGCTGTTTCTGGCCCCCAGGGCTGACTCAGAACTGGTCCCAAGACCTGTGATCAGGCCTTAGCTGTGGGCTGGGTGGCCACTTGACCTGCTACCTCCTCTTCCCCTCTTCCCGTGGCTTGGCCTTCCCCATCCCTAGGGCCTCTGCAGGCCTGGCTGTCTTCTTTTCCAGATCCCAGTGGTAGCTATTATGGCCACTGGTGGTGGGATCCGGGCAATGACTTCCCTGTACGGGCAGCTGGCCGGCCTGAAGGAGCTGGGCCTCTTGGATTGCGTCTCCTACATTACCGGGGCCTCGGGCTCCACCTGGTGAGCTGGGGACAGGCTGATGCTGGACCCTGTGGGGCAGGGGGTGCTGGTGCCAGGGTTCTCCTGAGCAAACTAGAAGGGCTGGGAGAATGAACGTGCCAGGGAGAAATGTGCTCCAGGAGACCCTGGGGAGGTCCCTGCCAGGCTGTTGTCCTAGAAAACCCAGGGCACGTGAGGTCTAGATGGGGTCCTTCAGTGACAGCCCTCTGGCTTTGGCTTTTCCCAGGGCCTTGGCCAACCTCTATGAGGACCCAGAGTGGTCTCAGAAGGACCTGGCAGGGCCCACTGAGTTGCTAAAGACCCAGGTGACCAAGAGCAAGCTTGGTGTGCTGGCCCCCAGCCAGCTGCAGCGGTACCGGCAGGAGCTGGCCGAGCGTGCCCGCCTGGGCTACCCAAGCTGCTTCACCAGCCTGTGGGCCCTCATCAACGAGGCGCTGCTGCACGACGAGGTGCGGGGGCTGCGGCCGGAGGCAGAGCCAGGGCTGGAACTGGGGCAGGGCGCTGGACAGCAGGGTGGGAAAGGGCCTGGGCACCCAGGCAGCTGTGGGTTCAGGTTCCACTCGTCTTTCCCCAGCCCCATGACCACAAGCTCTCAGATCAGCGGGAGGCCCTGAGTCATGGCCAGAACCCTCTGCCCATCTACTGTGCCCTCAACACCAAGGGGCGGAGCCTGTCCACTTTTGAATTTGGGGGTGAGTGGCCCCAGAGCTGAGATGAGACCTGTGCCCTCGCGGTTGGTGGAGTAAGGGGAGACGGGGCCTGTGTGCAGACGGCAGATGTCACACCCACCTCTCCTGGGCCAGGTCCTGTGCTTTCTGGAGACTGACACCCTACCAGGGTCCCTTGGGCCTTTGGGAAGGAGGCAGGGGCCTTAGGTCCCATGCACAAAGCCCAGGCCACAAGGCCTGGGCCTCCTGGTCCTCGGCTGCCCTAAAGCAAAGCCCTGGGTGGGGGTGCAGGTGCCCAAGGGCTCTGCACCATGAGGCTGAGGGGTGGCCTTCTCACAGAGTGGTGCGAGTTCTCTCCCTACGAGGTCGGCTTTCCCAAGTATGGGGCCTTCATCCCCTCTGAGCTCTTTGGCTCTGAGTTCTTCATGGGGCAGCTGACGAAGAGGCTCCCTGAGTCCCGCATCTGCTTCTTAGAAGGTGAGGGGCGCTGGGCAGGCTTGGGAAGCTGGGCCGAGCAGGGAAAATGGGCCCTGAGGGAGAGGGTGGCCCTCGGTCAGAAGAGCTTCCTGGGTCAGGACTGGCCATGGGGAAGGGTAGGGTTGGGACAGGAGTCGGGGGCCCTCTTCCCTCACGGCCGCTCTTTCAGGTATCTGGAGCAACCTGTATGCAGCCAACCTCCAGGACAGCTTATACTGGGCCTCAGAGCCCAGCCAGTTCTGGGACCGCTGGGTCAGGAACCAGGCCAACCTGGGTAGGTGCTCCAGCCCCTTCATAAGGGTGCCAAGAGGCAGCCAGCTGGGGCTGTACCAGGGGGTGGGGGGTCTCACCTCTTCCCCCTCCAGGGTCACCACCAAGGTGGGGATAAAGATGCAGGAGTCCCCATTCTCCCCCCACATCCCCACCTTGCCTGTGTAGACAAGGAGCAGGTCCCCCTTCTGAAGATAGAAGAACCACCCTCAACAGCCAGCAGGATAGCTGAGTTTTTCACCGATCTTCTGACACGGCGCCCACTGGCCCAGGCCACACACAATTTCCTGCGTGGCCTCCATTTCCACAAAGACTACTTTCAGCATCCTCACTTCTCCACCTGGAAAGGTACCTGCTCCTCTCAGCAGTCCTCCTGTGGCCGCCTGAGCCTTGAGTCCCCAGCTCCAGACACCCCTCCCGGTCCACTCTCGTTCTCCTGCGTTGAGCTCGATTCCCTGGACTGCTTGGAGCAGGGGTCTTTTTCTCCTTGTCTTGGGGACCCAGGGCCCACCTGCAGGGCTGCGGGGGTGTTAGTTCAGCAGGAGAGCAGGGGCCAGAGGCCAGAGTCTCTCCTTCCAGCAGGAATCTGGTACCCTTGGTATCCGTGACAATTGCTGCTCTCCCCAACCTTCCAGCTACCACTCTGGATGGGCTCCCCAACCAGCTGACACCCTCGGAGCCCCACCTGTGCCTGCTGGATGTTGGCTACCTCATCAACACCAGCTGCCTGCCCCTCCTGCAGCCCACTCGGGACGTGGACCTCATCCTGTCATTGGACTACAACCTCCACGGAGCCTTCCAGGTTGGGGAGGGTGGGCAGGCATGGGAGGTGGTGGGTGGCCCCTGCCCCCTGAAGAGAGGGGCTTTGGAGTCCAGTGTCTGGTCCAGCTTCCTTTAGGAGCTGTGACAGTGACTGCATGTGACTGGGACACTGGAATCTGTTACTTTGCCACTAGAGGAGCTCATTCTCTTCCGGAAGTTGGGAAGCTGTCGAGGTTTTATCTTGTATCTGGGTCCTCTTACTGACCTGCGAGGTGTGGTCCTGGGCTTCCGGGCCCACCTGCCGAGTCTGCTCTGCCTCCCAGTGTCAGAACTGGAGTGCTGGGAGCAGCCCGGCTCCGTCTAGCCCCAGAGGAGCTGCCACCAAGGCCTGTCAGGTGTGGCGTTTTTTCCCCAAAGGCTGGCTTCGTAGGCCCCACTGGAGCCCCTGACTTGGCATTTGAGCCCCAGGTCCGTGAATCTTGGTGCATCTCACATCGTCAGCCCCAGTGTTGAGGACACCAGGGGCCCTGTCCCTCTGAAGCCCCTTCTGCCTGCCCTGCAGCAGCTGCAGCTCCTGGGCCGGTTCTGCCAGGAGCAGGGGATCCCGTTCCCGCCCATCTCACCCAGCCCTGAAGAGCAGCTCCAGCCTCGGGAGTGCCACACCTTCTCTGACCCCACCTGCCCCGGAGCCCCTGCGGTGCTGCACTTCCCTCTTGTCAACGACTCCTTCCGGGAGTACTCGGCCCCTGGTGAGCCGCTGTTCACCTCCCCCTCCTGCTGCCCTAGTCCCCCACACTTCCTCCGTCGCCTGTGCATCCCCAAACCCACCTTCCCCACGTGTTCCCCCATGCCAGGCTCCACTCTTTCCACAGGGGTCCAGCGGACACCTGAGGAGGCGGTGGCTGGGGAAGTGAACCTGTCTTCAGTGGACTCTCCCTACCACTACACGAAGGTGACCTATAGCCAGGAGGATGTGGACAAGCTGCTGCGCCTGACACATTACAATGTCTGCAACAACCGGGAGCAGCTGCTGGAGGCCCTGCGCCAGGCAGTGCAGCGGAGGCGGCAGCGCAGGCCCCAGTGATGGCCGGGGCCCCTGCCTGGCCCTGCCACCCTGACTCTCATTCATTCCCTGGCTGCTGAGTTGCAGGTGGGAACTGTCACCACCCAGTGCTTCAGAGCCTCTGGGGCTCAGGTGACCCTGTCCCAGGGTCCATGCTGAGGGCTGGGAGCTCCCTGGGGCCTCAGCAGTTTGCAGGGGGGTAAGGAGGCCGAGCCCATTTGTGTATCACCCAAAACCCCATGGCCCATGTCTGTTTTCCCTTCTGCGCTACCTTGAGTAGTTGGACAAGGTGAGATGGAACAATTGATACATTACAGACTCATACACATGTGAGGCGCTATCTGAGACCAGCTGTTATTACTGCGGAGAAGGGCCATGTCATTCTAGGCTTTTGGCTGTACGTGGCAAGGGCTGGTACAGAGCTCGCTCGTCGGCGTGGGCTTCCTCCGAAGAGTAGATTCTCTGCACACGTCCACATCCACCTGTGCTCAGTCACCCCTCCAAGCAAGGAGGCGGCCACGTGGGCCTGGGGTAGCCCTGGCCTTGCCCACCTGCTCTGCTGGAACACGTCTCCTCTTCACCCAGACAGGAGTGGAGGGGGAGGCCAGGCAATGGCTGTTTCCTGCCACATGGTGGCATAACAAGGAACTGTCTATTCCAGAAGCTGGGCCTGGGGAACTGGGTTGAAGCAGCCACGGGAAAGAGCCCTTTTGCCTGTGGCTGGGTCTCATTCTGGTCCCCTAGACGCGTCCTCGCTTGTGGCCCTGAAGTTTGGTGTTGCCCTGGGGTTCACCTCAGGGATCAGACCTGTTGGGAAAACAGAGTGAATTTAGTAGGGTATGGCCACCCCAGAATCTTCTCCAAACACTGGCGCCCTGCCCGCCCCTGGACCAGCCAGCCTCCTAGAGTAAGCGTGCGAGTGGATTCCAGAGCTGACAGGCGCTGCAGCAGCTGTGGGTAAGGGGCTGGGAATTGCCTCGACTCTCATAACCCAACTCTACGTCTGTCAGCTGGTCTAGCGACCCCAGCCCTGGGCTAGAGACAGCAGAAGAAATGGCTGTCCTGGTAGCCTCAGGAGCCACCGTGTCCAGGACAAGGCCTGTCTCATCAGCAACACATCATCTAAATCATATATTGGGCCCTGCAGGACTGGGAGCAGATAGTTACACTGGAGACCACAGCTGTGGCTGGCACCGCTTGTGGTATGAGCCCTCCAGGCACACAGCTATATATGCATGTGCATGTCTAGGCTCATCCTGGCATGGGGCCCATGCACGGAGGATGTGCCTGTCTCCAGTGCCTCCTTCATTTTCACCTAACCCCAGGTGTCCCCTCCCCCCGGAGAGCCTGAAGCCCTCTGGTTTGGAGGGAAAGGAGATGTGGGTGAGGGGGTTGAGCATCGAAGTGATGCTGGGATCTACAAGGAGGGACCGAGGAGCCAGGTAAGAGCCACCTGCCCTATACATCACTTTCGCATCTCCTCCTCCCTCGCCTGCAGTCCAGGACATAGTGGCCCTCTCCATTGCCGGGAAGTGGGGATTGGGGAAAGCAGGGGAGGACCAGCTAGAGAATGGGTTGGAACAAGGGTGGGGCAGGATCTGGCCGTCCTGCCAACGTGCTGTGCCTTGGAGAGCAGAGAGGAGGGAGGAAAGTGAGGAGGGCCTGGGCCCCCGGGAAACAAACCCAGGCAGGCTCTCAGCACCAGGCAGAGGGAAACCTGGCTGCCCCTCCTCCAAGCAACCAAGCAGGAGGGGCACAGGGAGCCCAGGCAGCTTTGTCTACAGGGCCCCCACACTGTGGAGGGCATGGAGTGAGCCCTGGGAGGGGAGTGCTGTTGAGTCTGTGGAAATCTGGGCCTTGTGACCTGGATTCCTCTCAGCTGAGAGTGGGCAGGGGCAGCTGAGTGTTCAGTAGTATTTCCCCACAGCCCAACAGAGACAGTCTGAGGCCCAGAATATCAGGCTTCAGAGGGCAGCACCTGCCAGCCACTGAAGCCCAGGGTTCCCCGCCCTGCTCCCCCCGCCCAGGTGTGTCCCACCTGAGTAGATGTCCAGGCCGGGCATCCTCGGTCGCGCACTCATTCGGAGAGCTGACAGGTTTGGCTTTGAGTTCCGGGCTGAGACTCTGGGCTGCAGAACAAGGGAATAACCACTGTTAGCCCGGCCCAGACCATCTGCAGGCGCCAAGTCTGGCTGCTCCTTCCTCCAGCTTCTGGAGGCTCAGCACAGCCTTGGGCAGCCTAGCCATGCCAGGCCCTTCCCACGTGGGGGTGTGGGGTGTGCTGAGCACTCGTGGGCAGGTTTTTCCCCCATGCGTCCTGCCTCTTAGAAAACTCACAGGTGAGTTAAGAAAGGCTGAGCCTTTCTTAGGAGGTGGGGGATTCTGGAATGCCGAACAACTCAAGATCCCTTTGGGCTTCTGGAAAGACAGACTCGAGAGGAGAGTCCAGGGGAACCAGAGACAGAGCTAGGATCCCAGACACATTCCCTGAACACACTGCGTCCACATGGAGCCTCGGCAGAGCACGCTGACCATGGAAGAAAGTGGTCCAAGGGGTTGTCTATATATTCCTCCAAGTAGAACCTGGCTTGCTTCCTGTCTGCAAAACAACTCAAGGGTGGTGACATTCAAAGTTGTCTGAGGACTAGAAGGTTAAAGAAGCCCCCAGGTCAGACAGAACAGAGCCTGGGAAGCCCCTGGAGGAACAGTCCATGAGGATCTTGGCAGGAAGGGCTTGGGGCAGTCTCAGAATGGCCAACTCCAAAAGGGGCAGAACAGGACCAGGACACAGCTTGGGGGTCAAAACTGGCCCCATCTCTGCTGCTAATTAGCTGTGTGATGTTGGGTAAGTTGCTTAACCTCTCTGGAACCTAAATTCTTTGAGAAAAAACAGTAAGTCCAACTTACCTCTCGGGGGTTAGAGATGCTAACTGTGAAACCTGAGGATGCATAAAACGCTAGGGGCCCAGGGAGTCGGCCGCCCTCCCCGCATCCTTCCCCTGAAGCCCACCTGCAGTGCTGCCCAGGGCTCGCCACCAGCTCTCAGCCTGCTCTTCGGACGGTGCTGCAAACAGGATCTCTTCCCCACTGGTCAGCCTGGCACCCACAGAGACAGGTCAAACTCTCCACTGTCCCTTGGGGGTCCCCCACGCTTCCAGCCCCCACTGAGCCAGGTGGCTGCTGGGGGCCATGCTGGAGTCCATGTCTCTCCCCTCACCTTAAGGAGAATGTGTGTTTCCTGCCGTGGTGGCCCCGCAGCCTCTCACACCGGGCTCCTGTGAGGTCAAGGAGGGCCAGGCAAGCTACTTTCTGAGGAGAGATGAGAGGCAGGGGTCACTGCGGCCATCTCAGCTTTTCCCTGTGTGGTCCCTCCGTCCTGGGGCCCCTCTGCCTTGTCTCCCAGCACCCTGATGTCTGCATCTCCCCCATCCCGCCTGGTACCTCCTCTGCCATCCTCTCATCCAGGAACAGGCTCAGGGAGTTGCCCTGCAAGGTCCCATGGCAGCTGTCCCAGGAGCTCGAGCTGGGCTGTGGAGGGGAGGCGGGAAGGCCACATGAGCCATGTGCAGAAGGGAAGTTGGAGCTAGGGCCTGCCCGTGCCTCGCCGTGTGTGTGGAGCCTCCCAGGAAAAGCAATGGATTGGACCAAAGTCCCTATGGGGAAAGGGAAGCCACAGAGGGGCTCTGACAGGGGAAACCGAGCAGAAGGGGAAGAGCAGGCCGGGAGGAGGAATCCCAGCACCTCCTGGGTGGGGGCGGATGCTGGGAAGGGCCCCAAGGAGAAAACTGCCTGGATAGCATGGTGGGGAGTGGCATCTGCCCAAGGTCACAGGGCAAGGGTGCCAGGCCCAGATGGCTCTTCCCAGCCCCTCAAGTTTTCCTGCAAGTGGGGGCTGCCTGGAGAAGGAATCTCCAGGCACTTACCTGCCTCCCGCCAGGCAGCAGGTGCTGCTTGAACTCCAAAGGCCCCTCCATGGTGGGGGCACCCTTTGAATCCTGAAAATGCAAGATGGGGCCCGGAAATGTCAGGACCAGCACCCTCAGGAAGGTGGGTGAGGCACCCACTGCCCCCGCTCTCTTTATTCCTCCCACCCAAGTACTAACCAGGCCCGACCCTGCTTAGCTTCCAAGATCAGATGAGATCGGGCATGTTCAGGGTGGCATGGCTGTAGAGAGCCCTCTTTATTCCTAATGACCTTCAGCTCCTGTGCCCAGGGCTCCCAGCACTGGCTCCAGGGTGTGGGCCCTCACCCCCACAGCCCCAGCCCCACTGCATACACCAGGGAGACCAACGTTGGGGGTGCCTGCAGCCCCAGGGGGACACCTGCCTGGGGGCCCCTCGTCTCAGCCAGCTGCGCTCCTGGCCCCCGGTGTCCAGAGGGCCTCCACTGAAAGGATGTCAGCGAGCTGCCGGCTCTCCCAGGTTTCAGCTCCTGTGGCTGCAGCAGGAGCTCCTGTTCCATCTTGGGGAGTGTGGCAAGACGGGCAAGGTGAGCCAGGTCAGGTAGACCAGCCACGCCTCGGGCTCCCGTCTACCTCCCCCTCCGCCATCCCTCCCGGTCAGAGGGGGCCTGCCTCCCCCTCACTAGCTTTCAGCTTTGGCTCTGGGGGCTCGCACCCAGTCCACCATGGTGCCTCTCCCACCACCGCAGCTGGCCAGGGAAAGGAGTGGGTGCGGCAGGGTGAGGGCTCAGTGCCCTGGAGACCCTGACTTGCAGGCTGAGAGGGACTGTTCCCCCACCAGCCCTCAGCCCCTAGCTGCGGCACTCTTCACCTCTGTCTTCTGCATTTGGGCAAACTTCTCTTCCTGGGCTGCCAGCAGCTTTTCTAAGTCCTGGTGTCTGTGTAGCAGCAACTCCACATCTGACACTGAGTGCTGGGAAGAAGCACGTTCGGGTGAGGCCCAGCTCGGGGGCCAGAGCCTGGTAGCCAGCGAAGGGGCAGGACCCCTACTCACCCCATAGTCGGGCTTCAGCAGGAGGCCTTCCCGGCAGGCCAGCCAGGCCTCAGCCTGCTCCAACCTCTGCCGAAGCTTCTGCAGACCCCAGCTCTCGGCACAGCGTTGCCGGCGCAGGGCCCAGGCCTCCTCCAGCTCCTGCAGCCGCCCTTCCAGCTCCTGCAGACACCCTGTCACCTGGCGGGGAGGGGCTGCTAGGGGTGACAGCTTGGGTAGGGCTCCCACCCCGGGCAAGGCAGGGCAGGGCTGGGGAGCCCAGTGTTAATGGACGTGCAGAGGGAAGGCTGTGAGACCCGCACCTGCCCCTTCCCAGCCTCTCTCCCTGCCTGCGCCCAGCCTTCCTGGCCTGCTGGTTTCCATCCTGTGAGGGGCCCTGAGGCCTTTGCAATCAGGCTGCATCCCCAGCCCAACCGCAGGCCCACCCTCTGTGTTCACACCTCCGGGGACATGAAGTGGCTGTTGTCCACCAGCTGCTGTCCTTCCTGCCGCAGGTCCTGGGCTTGAAGGCGGCACTCCCTGATTTCCTGCCCCAGCTCTTCATGCTGCCCAAGGAGCTGCTCAGCCCCCACCACGTCCTCAGCCAGCTCCTCAGAGGATGCCAGCTCCTGCCTCTCCCGTGCCCATGCTCTGTAGGTCAGGGAAGGGAGCTGTTGTCAGGGCTGGCTGGGGAGCGGGGGAGGGCATGGGCAGGGGAGGGAGGGTCCAGCTCCCTGAAGAGCCAGGATACCCCCACCCCACAGGGCAGAGCTGAGCCAGCAGCCGAGGTAGGACACCTACAGCAGTTCCTGGCAGCGCCCGAGGAAGGCATGGCCCTGTGCAGCCTGCGCCAGCCACTGGCCTCGCTCCTGGGCCTTTGCCTGCAGAGTGGCCCAGGCCTCCTGCACCTTGGCCAGGCCCCCTGGAGCCGCAGGATGTAGCTGGCCCAGTCGGCAGGCCTCCGTCTGCACCCGTGCCACCTCCTTCTCCATAGCTGCCAGCTCTCTCTGCAACCAGAGCATGAGATCAGGCCTCAGTCCCCACACTGAGCCGACGCGTGCTCTCCATTCAGGAGCACCAGGCCTCTCTGAGGAGCCACCTCCACTCTGCTGCATAACCTGGGCCAAGTCCCAGGGCCCCTCAGGGAGGGATCTGGGTTTCTGGAGAGGAGGCTGAAGCAGGCTGGGGTGGGAGCACCTTGGGGGAGGGCTGAAATAGGTCCCCCTCAGCCACCGCCTTTGGGCAGGGACAGACAGGCAGGCTGCAGGGTGTGGGCCTCACCTCCAGGCGCCTGTGCTGTTGCTGCAAGGTCCGCACAGACGACAGGCTGTGGCCTCCGTCCTCTCCCTTCATCAGGGCCGTTTTCTCCTGCATCCTTCCCCAGAGTTCGGCTGCTGCCTGCTCAAAGCTGTGGACCTCATGGGCTGCAGCCAAGTTCTGGGAGAGGAGAAAGGACCTGCTCAGGGCTGTTCTCTGCTCCCAAGACTGCTTTCTCCCTGGAGACATGGCCTCCTGGGCCACCTCCTTTTGAGCAAGGAGGACCATGGGGCTTGATGTGTCCCCAGGTTCAGAAACCATCCTCCATGCTGCGACCCTCAGTGAACGTGACGATGTGCGTCTTGTGGCAGGCCAGCGGGTGGGGAGGGCGGGCAGAGGAGAGGGCCTCATGTGCATCTCAGGGAAAGGCAGACATGAGGAGTTGGGTCCATGTGAGAGAGCAGGCTGGTTCTCGGGGATCCAGCTGACCCTGGCAGTACCACCTGTAGTGCCTCGCATGCGGCTGGGAGACAGGTCAGCTCAGGAGGCAGCCCCAGCCCAGGACCTACAGAGATGGAATGTCCTGGGAGAAACCTGAGCGGGTGAGGGAGAAGGCGCATTCACTCGCAGCCAGCAGGGTGTGTGTCTTGTGGGAACCAAAGCCTGTGCTAGGGAGGGCTTAGAGGGATTTTTTGAAGACTCTGAGACCCCCTAGCTCGGCCCGGCCTGTGGTTACCCACCTCTGTGCGGGCTTTTATTGCTTGGTCCAGCCTCTCCCAAGCGGTCTCAATGCGGCTCCTCTGGGCTTGGATGTGGGGATAGTGCCTGGGTGCGCCCCGCTCCAGGGTGCCTGCCAGCTTCCTCAGGGCATGCACCTTGGCCTGGCCCAGGCTCTGAACTTCCTTTCTGAAAGCATCAAACTTCTCTTCCAGCACCTGCAAAGGTGTGAGGCCCGGCAGGGTCACTCGAGATGGTATCATGAGCTCTCAAAGTTCATGAAGAGCTCAGCAGACTGATGGCTCTGCAGTCCCTCAGCCCTGATTCTGGAACCATCAGGATCCTCCCTAGGACACCCTCTCCAAGCTCCTCTCTGCTGACTACCCAGCAACCCTTTCATCCCAAGGCAGGCCTTCCTCGGCCTCTGCCCGCTGCCCTCGAGGTTTGTTCAGGAGTGACTCACCTTGACGCCCTCCAGGTCCTGCCCGTAGTCCTGGGACTCAGCGGTGGCTGCCTTGGTGGTCAGCCAGGCGTCGAGGAGCAGGGTGTCTCGATCCAGCTGGTGTAGCTGCAGCTGCTCCTGCAGGCCACGCCCCCTGGCCTCCACCCTCCGCAGCAGCTCTGCGTGGGCCTCCCGAACTGCCTGCAGCTGGGCTAGCACCCTGGGGCTGCAGGAAGACAGCGACAGCCCGGACTGCAGCCCCTCCTCTCCAGGCTGGAGCAGTCTCCTGCCACCTCTGTAGGGGCTTCTCTCTGCTCCTTCCCGGATGTGTGGCTCCCCCCGCACCTGTCTGGGTTCTTCCTGCTCTCCAGGAGTGCTGCCATCTGCTGCAGCCGCTCGAGGCGTGGGCTGAATGCTTCCAGGTCTCTCTTGGTGGCCTCCAGCCGCCGCAGAAGGGCCTGTGTGGCCTCAGCACTGTGGCCCATGTCCTCGCTGTCCAGGACGTGGCCCCGCTCGGCCAGCCAGGATCCCGCCTCCAGGAGCTGGGGTGACAGAGTGGAGATTTGTTTTCCCGGGGCACCCTCCAGGGCTCAGGATTTACAGCCACGATTCTCAGCCTGGCCGCACATGGGAATCACCTGGGAGCTGTCGCGCTCCCTCGGCCTGGCCCCATTCCTAAGCAGCCTCATCTGGTCCGAAACAGCCAGGGAGGCAGTGCTTTGTAAAGGGTCCAGGTGATTTTTTTCCATGCAAAATAGATGCTTTATTCTTGGTTCATAGGCATAGATTTTGTTTCTGTCACTTGATAAAATAAAACCAAGTTTTAGCAAATATTCCTTGCAGTGTTTCTCCCTTTCATTTATTAGCCTATTTACTTCATTTACTTCAGTTTTTCTTCCTTTCCCATTGTATTCACCATTCTGAAGTAATTGAGGTATAATCATCCAGGGAAGGTTCCAGGTGATTCTCATGTAAAGCCCTGGTTGAGAACCACTGGTCTAGAGGGAAAAAAGACAAAAGCCAATCCAGCCAGCAGCTGTGTACTGGGACACATGTGGAAGGAGGCCTTTGGGGGCAGGAGACCACTGAGTGGAGGAGATGAAAGGTGCCCAGGCCCGGAGCCCTGGAGTTACCTCCCGGCTGCACTCGCCCTGGTTCCAGGCCCGCCCGCTGTGCCCTGCCCATCACTGCCCTCACCTCAGTCAGAAACTGCTGGGCCTCCTGAGCCTGCTGCAGCAGAAGCCGCCTCCGTGCCGCCTCTGCCCGCAGGTGGGCCACGGCCTTCTCCAGCTGCTGCACACGGGCGGCCACCTCGTGGGCGGCAAAGTGCCCTGCCTGCACCAGCTTGTGCCCAGTGCCCAGCACCACCCGGGTCAGAGCCTCATGGCTGTTCATCTCACTCTCCAGGTTCTGTGGGGGAGGATGGGGAGGAGGCAGGAGGATGGGGAGGTTGCTGACCCTTGGGGGACTCCCACAGTTGTGCTTGAAGCTTCACAGGACCCCACTAACTTGTCTCCAAGGAGTCCCCTGTCCCCATGACCCCCAAAGAATCCAGAGTACTCCAAAAGCCCCCACAGGCAGAGTTCCTGGCTGGGCCACAGAGAGTGCCATTTCCTTGGCTGAGGAGCCCCGCTCACATGCGAGGGCCGGCCCTCCCCTCCCCGGGTGGGCCCATACCTGGTGCTGCTCCTGCAGGTGCTGCACCGCACTCAGGCTCTGGCCATAGTCCTGGGCAGTGGCCAGAGGCAGCTTCTCCTGCACCCAGGCCATTTCCTCATCGGCGTCCCTGAAGAACTGCAAGAGGAGGCTCCGGGCCTCCAGGGCCGTCCTGCGCTCCTGCAGGGGCTCCCTCAGGCTCTTGAACCTGCAGTGGTGGAGGGTGGGACCCAGGGAGGCAGAGACCACGGGTGTCAGTATTAGGGATACCTGGTGACACAGATCACCCAGTTGTGGCCCTCACCATGGGCAGCGGGAGAAAGTGAGAAGACATCAGCTAGAGGGCAGGGGTGGCGGTCCCTCTAGGAAGGCAGGGAAGAGAAGCTGAGGGCACAGGCGGATCTACCTCTGAAGCAGCCGCTGGGCCTGCTCTTCCACATCTTGGGCAAGGCAGTGGCCTTCCCTCACGAAGGCCTGGGCCTGGCCCAGCAGTGCCTCAGCCTGCCTGGCCTTCTTGTCCACTGCTGCCTCCAGCTCCCTCTGTGTGCCTAGGAGCTCGTCCACCCCAGGCAGGGCCTGGCCCCCAGTGGGGGCTCTCAGCTCAACCTCGATGGGCTCCAGCCAGTTCTCCAGTTCCTCCATGCTCCGCCGCAGACGCAGGGCCTAGGGTAGAAAGCAAGGTTGGCAGGAGGGGAGAGGCCCGGAGCCCGGCCAGCCACCCCACGGCCCACACAACCTCACCTCGCAGGCGTTGTGGAGCTTGGCCACCTTCTTCTGGAAGTTGTCTTGCAGCTCACCCCAGAGTGCTCCCAGCTCCTGCAGTTGCTCCTGGATGGCCTCCGAGGCTGGGTGGCCCCCCTGCAGCAGCCTCTGTCCCTCCTGCAGCCACAACATGAAACACCCCTTGTGGACTGAGGACTGCTGGTACCAGGGCACTTGTGTTGACTCTGACCACCAGCACTACAGCTGCAGAGTCCCTGCAGGCCAGCTGCATGATCTTGAGCAACTTTCTTTACCTAAGCCTCATTTTCCTCATCCATATCATAGAGAAAATCATGGTTATTTTGTTTAAATAAGTCATGTAAAATACTTCGCAGGGTGATTTATATCAGAGGGAGCCAGCCTGGGGTCAGGATCTGCCTTTGCAGGTGGAAAAGAGAATGTTTAAAGAAGTGCCATGCTGGGCACAGTGGCTCATTCCTGTAATCCCGGCACTCTGGGAGGCTGAGGCAGGTGGATCACCTGAGCTCAAGAGTTTGACACCAGCCTGGGCAACATGGCGAAACCCCTTCTCTACCAAAAATACAAAGTAGCCGGATGTGGTGGCACGGGCCTGTGATCCCAGCTACTTGGGAGGCTGAGCTGGGAAGATCACTTAGCCTGAGAGGTGGAGGTTGCAGTGAGCCGAGATCTTGCCACTGCACTCCAGCCTGGGTGATAGAGCAAGACCTGTCTCCAAAAAACTATGTTTTGACTCCTTCACTCACAGGACTGCTGGCTATATCCTGTTCACATCAAAATGTTATCTTTAAAATTACTGAAAAGGTGTCATTTTTGGAGAGGGTGCCCCCACCCCGGGGAAGCAACTGCTTCTCACTACACTTCCACCTACACAACCGCTTAGCCAGGTGCCTGCACACAGAAAGTACTGGATAACATTGGCCACCGTTGCTGTGGTTCAGCACCAGCTCAGGGGCACCGTCCTGTGCTCTTCCTGCCCGCAGGGCCTCACCTGCTGTAGCTCCTGCTGTTGGTGCCTGCTCGCGTCCAGCTCCGCCTGGAAATTCTGCTGCTTCCGTAACTGCGCTGGCAGCATGGCTGTGTCCAGCAAACCCTCCTCCAGGGCCACCACGTTCTTCTCCCTCAGCCACGCGGCCACCTGGGCACATGGGGAGGACAGGCCTGCTGTCCAGGGCTCTTGCCTTCCCCCGATCTCTGGGATGCCCCAGAGGAAGTGTGGCCTTTCCCTGGGTCGACTCCTTCCCCACCGTGATCGCCTCCCTCTCCAAGCGAGGCGAACCTCCTGGGAGTCCTGCAGGAAGGCCTGCAGCTGCCGGAGCTCCTCCAGGCGATGGCGGCGGGTCCCGGCTTGCCTGAAGAGCGCCTCCTTCCTGCCAGGAGGAGAGGCTCATGGGCCTGGGGCCACCCCCGGGGCCGGGTGGGGTGCCCGTTCAGCCTAGGCTTTCTCAGGTATGAATATATTCAGAGTCTGGAGTTTCCTTTGGAATAAAGGTCCATTGCACTCCACCTCTGTATATGTGTCTGTTATGGGCCGGATGTTGTACCCCCAAGTTTTTTTTTGAGACAGTCTCATTCTGTCACCCAGGCTGGAGTGCAGTGGCACAATCTTGGCTCACTGCAATCTCCACCTCCTGGGTTCAAGCAATTATCCTATCTCAGCCTCCCGAGTAGCTGGAACTACAGGCTCATGCCTCCACACCCGGCTAAATTTTGTATTTTTAGTAGAGGCGGGCTTTCCTCATGTTGGCCAGGTTGGTCTTGAACTCCTGAACTCAAATGATCCACCCACCTCCTTCTCCCAAAGTGCTGGGATTACAGCTATTACACCTGGCCTGTACCCCTCCCCAAAACTGGTTTTGGAGACAGTGTCTTTAAAAGAGGCAATTAAGTGAAAACGAGGTCATATGGGTGGGTCCTAATCCACTGTGACCTTATGTGTCCTTACGAGAGGAGGAAACTGGGGCAGACACAAGCATGGGGGGAAGGCACAGGGCAAAGGGGCCTCTGCCAGAACCGGGAGACCTCCAGAGGAAACCGACTGCTGACACCTGGACCGTGGACCTGCAGCCCCCAGGATTGTCAGAAGAGTGTTTATTCCAGGGGTCCCAGCCTCTGGGCCGCAGACCGGCACCAGTCCGCAGCCTGTTAGAAACCGGCCGCACAGAAGTGAGCTGCGGAGCGTGAGTGCCTGAGCTCTGCCTCCCGTTGATCAACTGGCAACAGATTCTCACAGGAGCTGGAACCCTGTTTTGAACTGCACACACGAGGGATCTAGGTTGCAGGCTCCTTATAAGAATCTAATGCCCAGAGATCTGAGGGGGAACAGTGTCATCCGGAAACTACCTCCCACCCCCTGGGAAAAACTGTCTTCCACAAAACCGGTCCCTGGTGCCAAAAAGGTTGGGGGATTGCTGGTTTATACCACCCCACCCAGTCTGTGGTATTTTGGTACAGCTGTCTGAATAGGCTAATATACTGTCTAAACCACTTTTTTGATCAGGCATTGCTATTAGCAAGAATTTTTAAAGCAGGACCTCCCTATATATAATATGTAATATCTAACATTTATATAATATTTAATAACTTGATTTATATATTACATATGTACCTCTGTACCAATATCAAGTATAATGCCACATGCACAAAAATAGAAACTGAGATCTATAAACAGAAGTTCTAACATCCCTCCCCCCCCACCCCACCTCCTCAGGTCCACACACTCCTGCCCACGCTGGTGTGAGTGTGTGGGGAGGAGCGGGTGCGGAGCGGCTGGACTGAACAGAAACGTGCTCCTGTAGGAGGGCAGAAGCCAGGGGCTAGAAGTCACGGTGGCACTGTGCTGGGGGCAGCTGGGCCTGCCAGGAACCACCTAAGGTGACTGGGGGAGTGGGTGGTGACAGAGGCCAGCAATGTTTGCATTCTGTTAATTCAAACAACTCCACAGGTACCCAGGTGTGATCCACCTGCAAGAATGGAGAGAGGCTGGCCCCAACCACTGCCAGGACACCAGCACAAGGAGCCACGGCATTTGTGGGTGCTGGTCGGCTCTCTGGGAAGGACAAAAGCCCTCACCAGTCTGGGATCTGGCTTTTGACCCTATCTCCCTTGATCTAAAAGTCTGAGGAGCCGCATGAAGCAGCCAAACCCGACGAGCTTTCACAGGGAAAAAAACCGCAGAGCTGGGGTTTCATGGGCCGTGCAGGTCACATGCATCTGTGTCTGAACCGGCGTTAGATGAGCTAAGACTTCTGCTAGCCTGCCTGTGGGGCCAGCACCATGCTTTCATCCTCATCACAGCCCTTAGAGCCCGGGATGTGAGGCTCAGCTGCCGTGAGGAGGAACTTGCCCGAGTCCTGCCATTAGTGGGCAGCATAGGGACTCAGGACTGTGGCCCTGGAAGGCTGATGCTTGACCTCTGTACCCTGCCCTTCCGTTTCGTAAGATGGTTTCCTCTTGGTCTCCTAGCATAAGCCTCTCTTTAAACTCCCTTTGATCTCAACTGAATGAAGAAGGAAGTGGGATTTTCCACATGGTGTTTGATGTCCATAACAGGCAGACACATTGCAGGGCCAGGGGCGGTGGGGACCCCCAGCATCTGACCTCAGTCCTTGGAAAAGACTGGTGAGCCTGGGCCAAGCAGTGGAAGGGTAGGAAGGGAAGAACCGGGATGTCAGATGCCTGTGCCAGCCTGCCCACAGCATCCCTCACCCCAGAGCCACCAGTACCTCAGGAGCATGGCCTGGCACCTGCCCAGGGCACTCGGGGCCTCGGGGTGTCCATCCTGGTGCAGGCTGCGGGCCGAGGCCTCCAGAGCGCTGATCTTTCCTGCCTGCACCTCCAGGTCCCGCTCCAGCATCTTCTGCTTCCACAGAAGGGGCTCCATGGGGGCCACGGGGTCCTGGTGGGGGTGGGGAACCCAATACTGTCCACGGGGCTGCCCCCTCCCATCCCAGGCTACCTGCCTTCCCACCTAGAACATCCACAGAGCAGCTGCTCCACCCAAATACGTCCCTCAAGGCCGTTCCAGCTTTAGGACTGATTCCCAGCCAGGGGAGCACTGGGATAGGGATCAAGAGCCAGAATCTCTGAGGCAGGCCGAGTTTTTTCACATAAGGTGAGTGCTCCCTCCTCTGCACTCCCCCGAGGACTGTTAGTCTCCAGTTATCCTCTGAGGTCTCCTATGAGCTACACTTGTCTGCTACAGGGTTGGGGCAGTGGCAGGAAAAGCGAACCTCTAGGCATTTGGGAAGTGAGGAGGGCAGGGGTGAGGCAGCAAGAAAGGGTCAGGGCCACAGGCACTCTCGCAGCTCCGTGGTGTTGGCGGTGGGGCCTGCCCACAGCTGCGTGGGAATTGCTCCAGATGACAGGTAAGTAACTGCCCAGTGACGGATGTGGTCCCAAGTGGGGAGATGCCCCAGAAGGGGAGGGTCGCTGGCCTGGGGAGCTCAGGCAGCACTGGCTGGTTTGACCCCGAACACTGCTCTTGTAAGATCCCCTCCCGCCCATTCCGGCTGGACACCTACCCACAGACCCTCACTGGCTAGGGAGTCTTCCTTGCTGCTAAGCCAATGTTCTATCTTTTCCACGGAGCTCAGAAACAGCTGGAAACAAAGGAAAAAGCAAGAGGCAGTCGGCAGAGGGTTCAGCCACTGCAGGTGGAGTGACCCAGTGGCACAGGTTGGGGAACCAGGGTCCTGGAAGGCAAGAGCGCTGAGTGGTGGGGAAGTCCCTGGCCCAGCAGCCCCTCCAGCCTTAGACTTGACCAGAGGCTGTGGGGTCAGTGCAGGCCGTGTTGGGTGGGGCCAAGATGCAGGCTGGGGATGGGACTGTGCCTGCCTGTAGCTCCAGGGCCTGCTGCAGCTGTAGCTGGTACTCCTGCCAGGTCCCTTCCAGGTTGCTCAGCTCCTGTTCTAGGCCAGCCAGGGCCTGGCGAATGTCGGGCGTGGAGGGGTGCCCCGCTGTGAGCAGTCGCTGCCCAGTGCTTCGGGCCAGGCTGCTGCTGTCTGTCCAGGAGTCCAGCTCGGCCTGGAACGGGACTGGGCTCAGATCACTGGGGACTGGAAGCAGCCCAGCAGGCAGGAGGAGAGGTGGGGAAGCAGCTGAGGAGTGGGAGGCTGGAGGAGACAGGCAGGGCGGGACACCCAGGAGGCCCAAGAACAAGGGGAGGAGAGGAAAGGGTGGAGGTGAGGGTCTGGGAAAGGCTTGGACCAGCTGCCTGCTCACCTTGCGCTCCTGGTGTTCTTCTAACATACGCCGGGCTTCCACAGGGCTGCGAGGAGTGGGGCTCATGTCCATCTGAGCCCGCAGCCTCTGGGCGCCGACCAGCAATTCATGCAGCGTTGCCTGGAGTTTCTGAGCTTGGTGCAAGGCATCCAGCGCCTCCCTCCTGCCCACAGCGCTCATCAGCTAGTTCCCAGGCCTTCAAACCCCTCTCCCCTGTGCCCACTGGTGTCTTCTGTCCCTTAATCCCCTCAACCACAGGAGGGCCCACGGGCTGGGAGTTACTGGGAGGACAGTAATTTGCAGGCTGGAGAAAGAATCCCAGGGGAACACAAGGGCTGAGGGGAGGTGTGGGGACTGAGATGCCGGAGGATGGGTCGGCAAGGGCAAGGCCTGCGGGGTTCATACCGCTTCTGGGCCCTGCTCTGGAGCTGCCACCAGCTCTCAGCCACCTCCTGCTGCCTGTGCCTGAGGTTGTGGGCTGCCTCAGGGCTTCTCTGGCACAGGCGGCCCACCTCACGCTCTAGGGACTGTGGGGGAAGCCGGGGTCAGACGTTGGGGCAGGGGAGCCCTGGGCCACCCTGGCATCCCATATCCCCTCCTCCCTGCTTCTGCCCAGGGTCCCCCTGAGGAGGTGCCCTGGGCCCAGCTCCACAGCCAGCTGCGCACCTCCACCTGGGCCTGGATGGGGTGCATTTCCCGCTCCAGCTCCTCGTGTTTCCGCAGCAGCCTCTGCACGCTCTCCAGATCCTTCCCGCAGTCCAGGGCCTGGATCAGGGCTTCCTGGGGGAGGGGCACGGCCAGTTACCTGCTGGGCCTTTGCTTCAGCTCCTCCTTCCTGGCAAAGGGCCCAGCCAGCAGCTTCTGTGTGCACAGCAAGCACCCAGTGTGATTTCCCGGCCCTGGCTTTGAGGGCCAGACGTCTCTTCCTTATGTGAGGGGGACGATTCAGAGGAGCAACTCTGGATTTGGAGTCTCCTCTGAGGGAAGAACCTCATGTGTGTGCTGCTTCCCTGTACAGTGTCTCATTCGACTCTCATCCCTTGAGGAGTGAGAAAGAAAACAGAGCAAGGATGGACAGACAGGCCTTGGCAGACACCTGTTTCACACGAGGGCTTCCCAGACTGGGTTCTAACTCTGCCAGATTCAGCCTGGGGCTCTGTGGTTGTGAACAGTCCCAAGGCAAACATCCCGAGGGTCTGGGCTTCCTCGGGGACGGGAGGAAACCGAGAGGGTGTTTTCTGGCCTCTGGACCTGCAGTGTGTCTGGGACCAGGATCCGGGGGAGAAAGGAGACAGGGAAGCCCCCTGCTGAGCTTGCAATAGGTGCTTCTATGGTCCTGAGTTGATCCCAAGGGCCACCCCATCAGCTGTCCCTGGTGCAGCCCTGATAGGACCCACCTCCAAGTACCCAGCGGAACAGGAGAGGCCAGTGAGGGGGGAGACACACAGGAGACTCTAGGCAGCGCCCCCTCCCCTGACCGCATTTGCTCACAGACCCTGCCGGGACCCGCTTCCACCACGTACCTTCTCCTGAATCCTCTCGGTGACACTGTCCAGCTCTTGAGACAACATGTGTATTTCCAGGGCCCCTTCGAGCCGCTGCTGGTATTGGAGCAGGTTGCCATGGAAACTCGCCCACCTGGCCGAGGGGTGGTGGTGTAATGTGGAGCCCGAGGCGGCCCTCCATCCCTCTCCCGGCCCCTCGGTTCTCCCCAGCCTGGGACTGGCCTGCTGTTGAGCTGGCTTCGCCGCTGGCAGATGATCTTGACTTCCTCAGGGTCCCGGTTCTTGAGTTGCAGTGACAAGTCACTGATGCTCCTGATGCGGGCATCACCCACTGTGTCCTGCAGGGGAGGTATGGGTGAGGGCACTGGCACCCCTCACGCAGAGCCCCTTCTTCCCACCTCAGTGGGCACTGGGAGCATGCCTGGGCCCCAGAGCACGAGGAACAGCATATTTGGGCAGTGGGAGGAACTGCTTCCTGCTTCCTCTACTGTGGCAGGTGACTGAGGTCACCCCGTCCAGGTGAAGTGAACAAGATTGGCTTGGAGCCTGCAGCCCCAGAGTCACCTCTAAGGCCAGAAAATGGGATCCCTGTGTTGGGTACCATGTAGGAGGGAAGAGTGGGCACATGCTCACTTACAGAAGCTCTTGAGACGGAGTCCCCCTCTGTTGCCCAGTCTCCCTCTGTCACACTGTTGTTGTAGTGGCACAATCTCAGCTCACTGCAACCTCCACCTCCCTGGTTCAAGTGATTCTCCTGCCTCAGCCTCCCGAGGAGCTGGCACTACAGGTGCCTGCCACCAAGCCTGGCTAATTTTTGTATTTGTCATAGAGATGGGGTTTCACCATGTTGGCCAGGCTGGTCTCAAACTCCTGACCTCAAGTGATCTGTCCGCCTTGGCCTCCCAAACTGCTGGGATTACAGGCGTGAGCCCCCGCGCCCGGCCACAGAAACTTTTAAAATAAAAATTCAGCTTCTTGGATGAAGATAAGCAAATGGAGGTTGTGGAATGGAACAGTGAGCTCTGGCTTCCTGGCGTTTGGATGTCCCCGCCTCAGGACTCGCCTGAGCTGAGGCTGGTGCTGCTTGGACACTGGGCGGGGTTTAAGTGTGCACAGGGAGGGGTCCCCCGCAAGGTGCCATTGCAGGTCTCCTGGCTCTGGCATCCAGAGAGCTTGTTTACATTTCCAAAGCACTTTCCTATGAAGTGCCTCGTGTGAGGTAGTCAGGGAAGGACAGTCCCCTCCTTTTATAGACACCAGAGCAGAGCTCCGAGGCTAACGTGGCTCCTTTGTGGCAGAGCCAGGATTCAAGCCCAGCTCCTTTAAAGTCTAGCTCTCTTCCTCCTACGGCATCTGGCACAGCGTCTGTGAAATGCTGCCATTAGCAAGGGATGTCTTAGGTTTAAGCACTGCCACCTTTTAAAAAGTTATACATACATGTACCAGGGAGACAAGGTTAGCACATTTGGTCTTTAACATCCAATTGCAAATACATTTGCCAATTTTATTTCCCCGTAGACCACATAAGAGAAATAGATGTTTGGTGTGTGTATGTGTAAGGGGGCGGGTGTGGGACGAGGAGGAGACGCTGAGACGCTGAAATAGTCACACTGAAGGCGGGCGCTGATTATCCACTGCATCCAGGCATATGTCTCATCTTTTTAAGATTTTTTGAAATAATTATAGATGCACAGGAAATTGCACAAGTCCCGCAGAGAGGTCCATGTGCCCTTCCCCAGCTTCCCTTATAGCAGCATCCTATATAAGGATAACATTGAAACCACAAAGCTGACATTGGTATACTACTACCAACTAGACCAGACTTCATTCAGATTTTCTCAGTTTTTGCCAAGTATGCATCTGTGTGCAGCAGAGGAGGATAGGTCTACGAAGTTTTATCACAGCTAGAGATTCAAGTATCTGCAACCATGCACATGCTCTCTTATCTCTGAGGTGGGTGCTACCCCCATTCTAAAGAGGAAGGAGCGAAGGCATGAGGAGGGAGCCTGCCCGAGGGCACGGGAGTAGCAGGCGTGGAGCCCACGCACTGCCCTACAGCCCACACTCCTTCCCTGCTCTCAACTGGATTTTCAGTGAGGGATGCATGGCCAACACTACCCAGCAAGGCCCCCTCACCCCGGTCGAGGTTCCTCGGAACTCGCGAAGCCGCCGTCGGAGCTTCAGGCAGTGCTCCAGGTCCTGGCCCAGGTCACCAACATTCACCATCACCTCCTGTGAAGGCCGAGGGTGGGGAGGGAGCGCTCTGAGCACCAACCCAGGCTCCTGGCACCTGCTGCTGGGGCGCCCTCCTGTCAAGGGAGGGCTCCTCCCCCCATTTCTCAGCTTCCCCCGCTGGCTGGGGCTACACCTTCTCCTGGATCCAGGCCTCTGCGAGGTCCACTCTCTGCAGGAACTCCAGGAAGTCCCGCCTGTCCTCCAGCTCCTGGGCCCTGAGGGCCACTGCCTGCCTCAGGTCCTCCCAGTGCTTCCGAAGGCCCTGCAGCCGCTGGGAGACCTCTCCCGCTCGAGGGTGGCTCTGTACCAGGAGAGCCTCTCCCTTCTGGAGGGAGAGAGGGGACACAGGACATCTTGCCTGCCGCCCTTCCTCCTAAGACCGACATCACCCCTGGGCCACACTTTGGGGCAGGCATGGGGCTGAGGGCCCAGTTGTTACCTTGGCAACAGAGGTCATGACCTCCTCATGGGCCTGGACTTCAGCCTCAAAGGCCTGGTGTTTCAGCAGGGGCTTCAGCTTATCTCTCAGGTCCCCAGGAGGGATCGGCTTCTTCAGCTGCTGGGCCCATGCCTGGATCCAGTCCTCAGCCTGGTGGGGGTGGGACACGAACGCTGATGCTCTGCAGCCTTGGGCCCCAGATGCCACAGGCCCAGCCCTACCCATTCCCAGGAGGCTGGCCTCAGGGGTAGAGTGGGCAGCACCTGGTCAACGAGCCCTGAAGGTTCTAGCTCCGGAAGACAGAAGACAGAAGACGTGCTGCAGGGAGCAGCCGGGCAGGGCCTTGGGTGGGCTCTCGTTTTGGAGGTGTGGCCCCTACTCCTGGGACCCTGGGCTGCTCTGCTCTCTTCCCTGCCTCTCTTTGCCCTGGCCCTGCTAGAGCTCGGGACACTGGTGGGGTCTCCACACAAAGGGGCTTAGATCCCATGGTCTGAGCTCCAGCACAGCCATCCACTCCCTGAACCTGTTTCTGCCTCACAGTGTTGTGGTGTGAAGGCAGCTGAAAATGGTTGCGTGGTCCCGGTGGAAGGCCCTGGGCTGGGGGTGCCCTCTGACCTGGGTTGCGGCCTGGGTGAAGCTGGCCATCAGCAGGGAGGCGTGCAGGGCGTGTCCCCGGCTCTCCGCCAGCTCCTTCACTCTCACCCGGCGCTGCAGCAGGGCAGGAAGCAGGTCCTGCACCTGGGCGTGCCGGAGCGTCTTCAGCCGCTCACGCAGGGCTGCCTCCTGTGGGGCAGGGGCACAGCTACTGCTCTCCCACCCTGGGCTGGGGCAGGGTCTGGCCCGCAGGGCTCACAGCCCTTTCCTCAGCCCCGCACGGCTAAGGGGTGTCTGATCCTCCCAGCCACAAGCCAGACCAGTCTGCTCCCCAAGGACCGCGTGGTGTGCACAGAGCCGAATGCCCTCCGTGGGTCTCTGCAGTGTGGCCCATCTCACCCTGGGCCCTCTTCTTGAGCCACACATACAACTTGCTCAGTCAACCCCAACCAGGCCCCCAGCCTCGCAGGCTCATCAGTACTGACTCCGGGAACACACCAAGCTCCCTGTGACCCCCTTCAGGACTCTCTCCGACCCCCACACTCTGACCACGGCCAGGACTCCTGAGCCCATTACCTTCTTGTCCTGGGCAGTCAGAACCTTCAGGAAGAGCTCATGCTTGCGAATCAACTGCTCTACCTCTTCCACCGAGCTCCCCAAGGCACTGGTTTTCAGGGAGACCTGGATTCACAGAAAAGTCAAAGAGGCCACCATGCCTTCCAGCCAGCCAGCCCCTCCAGCTACAGTCTGTGCTAGGCTGTGCCCATGGGCACTCTGGGTATAGCAGGGCCTTAGGAGTGCCCGCTGAGCTTGGCGTGGAGCTGTGAGGAGGAGTGTGAGCCCAGGTTGGGAGGCTGCGACACCCCAACCTCTGCACCACATGGGAGCACGACCAGCCTCTGGCCAACTTCCTTGGGGCTCAGTCTGGGGATGTCAGTGGAAGCTCAGGGGCCTCAGCGCTTCACCCAGCTCACCTGGACGGACTCATGCACAGCTGCCCCATATTAGAAAAAAAGCCAGAGAGGCAGGAGGAAAGGGACTGAGCAGAGAGAGGAGAACAGAAAGGAGGAGCAGGAGGCATGCGGAGTGTGAGGGCGGGACGGGACCTGCCTCCTGGGCCGCGAGGATCTCCTCCAGGCGGCCGCACTCTCTGAGGAAGAGCTGCTCCTGCTGCTCAGCCTGCAGCCTCTCTTGCTTCCGCGCCCAGGCCTGATACACCTGGTCCCGCTGGTCCTGCAGGGCTCGAAGCTTTTCTTGGACCTGGGGATGGACACGTGAGGAGCTTCAGCTGGGGAGGGTGGTGTGGGTGAGGTGAGGACTGGATCCTGAGGGAAGCCTCTGAGGAAAGGCCAGCATGGCACAGTAGCGTGGGCCACCAGGTGGCCAGGCACAGGCTAGGTCAGCTAGGGTATGTGGGGGCACCAGGAAAGGGGGCCCACCTCCTTGGTGGGTGTCCCTGCAGCCAGGAGTGCCTGCTGGCCCAGCTGGGTGGCCTGCTGCCACAGCTTCTCCCGGGCCTCCAGCTCCGCCCGGAGCCACTGGTGGGCACTGAGCTTCAGCGGGCCACGGCTGGGCTCTGGCGAGCTCTCCTCCAACTGGAGGTCCTGGCGCACTCGGGCTGCCCAGGAGGCGTAGTCGCGCACCTGATCCCAGAGACACGGAGGGAGAGCGGGTGAGGGAGACACGGAGGGGGAGGGCCGGGGGAGGGCCGGGTTTCAGCAGGAAACCAGGTGCCAAGGCAACTGCAGCCCACCTGAGTCCACTCCTCACACAGCTCGAGCCGACCTGGGTCAGGGTCTCGGCTGAGGCACGTGTGGCCCTTTGTCACTTGGTTTCTCTGTTCTCATCCAACCCGATCCTCCCAGAACCACGAATCCTCCACGTGAGCCAGACCCTCACCACTACACATCTCTGTCCTTTGCTCCTGCTGACGCTGCTGCTTAGAAGGTCCTCCTCCTGCCTTCCCATCTCTATAGAGCTCACCTGGATGAGGCCATGAGCAGACTGGCGGCTATAGCAAGATCATCCTCATCAAGACTGCTTGATGGGGAAAGAAAGCTCGCCTGCTCTTCAACGGCCTCTTGGCCGCCTTTGCCTGGTGAAGCCTTCCCTGGTATTTGACACTGCACTGCTCTCCGTGTTCTCTGAATTACTAATTTAACCCTTACAGACTGTCTTCTGCTGATTTGTATACAACTTCACAAGACTGGTGCTGGAGGGACTTCAGGTCCTTGACCAAATATCTCATTGCACAGAGGAAGGGTAAATAGCACAAACAGTCTTGTAAACTCTACGTGCGTGACAAACCCAAGGTTAAGTGCCTTGCTCAAGCTCACACTGCCAGCAAAGCAGCAGAGTTGGGTCCCTAAACTCAAGCCTTTTTGTAGTGTCAGTTTAGGCCTCCTGGTCTGCCAGGTCCCAGGACAGGGGGATGCCAGGGACACCCCATGGCCAGGACCCACTGTTCCAGTCTGATTCTCTGGGTTTTGGGCTCATCTGCCCAGGAAGGAGGGCTCCACAAGGGCAGAAGTTCCACCTTCCATAGCTTCTATATTGCCCTCCTCTCTCTACCTGCGGCTTCAGCAGGGGGCTGAAGAAGGACATTGAATAGATGCTGGCTGATCCAGAGGTCACTGTCTAACATCTGGGTCTCCAGTTATGAGCTTTCCTGGGCCGTTCTTACTCTCAGCTCCGGCTGGGACCCTGCATGACTGCCCTGCCACTCACCTTGCTGGCACTGACCCAGATCCTAAGGTGTCACTGCTATGCCCATGTGGTCAGCCCCTGACCAGCCAGACTGACCTCCGTGTGCTTGTGCTCTCCCGCCTGAGTTCATGCTTGTTCTCCCTCCGGAGCTGGAGGGCCTCATGCGTGCATGCCCATGTGTGGTACAGCACACACACATGTGCATAGACGCCACCCAAGGGGCGGGAGCCCTCACCGCTGTGCGGAAGCGGGCCAGGAGGCGTGCCCGCTCCAGCTGGGCCCTGCGTTGCTCCACGCGGCGCTGCAGCGCTGCCCACGCCTGCATCACAGCTTGCTGCCTCTGCTGCACCGCATGGGCCTGAGGCCCCGGGCACAGCTTCTGCACCCTGCCTGCAGTCTCCAGCAGTTCCTGCAGCTGCGGGAGGGGCAGGGAACAGGGAGGCAAGGGTCACGTCTTCCTGACTATCCCACAGATATATCCCTTGCCTGGGAACTCTGGCCCCCTTGGGCCACATCCTGCCATACACAGTAGGCCCATGGGAGGCCCTGAGGGACAGTGGAAAATCTAGAGGAACAGGCAGGCTAGCCTGAGGGAGCTGCAGGGGCCTGGGTCGGAGAGGCAGCCAGCTGGGCTCACCTGCTGCTTGGTGCCCACGAGTTCTCGCTCCAGCCCCTGGTGGCTCCTCAACTGGGCCTCCAGCCCACGCAGGTCCCGTGCCACATTGTTGGGGAGGCTCGCGGCTTTCTCCTGAGGAAAGGAGAATGCCAAGGAGATGAGGAATGGAGGGTGGGCACTGAGCCTGGAATGTATCCACTTCTAGCAACCCCTCCAGCTCACACCTTGACCTGGGTGAGGACTTCCAAGAGATCTCTGTGAACTCTGAGGGTGGTCTCGGCATCTCGGAGCGCGTGGCCTCGGGCCTGGGTCAGCTCCCACAGCTCCGACCAGGTGGCCCTGCCCGTGGCGTGTGGAAGACCAGCAGGGGATCAGCCCTGGGCTGCCTCGTTCCTCCCTCTCGCTAGGTCTGGTCAGCCCCCTCCTCTCTGGGTTGTATCGGAACTTGCTCGAAGCTCCTTCTCCTCAAAACCTCTCCCGCCTGTGGCCCTGCCTACACACTTTCTTCCCGGGAGCCTGTCTTCTAGCTTTACCATGAATTCCGTGTTTTGATGCTGTAATACTGGGCACTGAATGGTATCTGTGCTCTGCGACACTCCTTACATCTTGTGCTTTGATTTATAGCGCATCACCCAGATTATGATTACAGACGCTTTGTGGGCAGAGGTCACATCTCTCCATTCTTCATTAACTCTGCAACTCGCTGAGCTCCTAAGCCTTCTGCCAGGCCAGGCTCTGGGCTAGGGGTTATGAGCGAGTCATGACCTTGCCTGAAAGCTCACAGGCTGGGAGTGGATCCAAATCAGCCAAGTGGACAACTAGGAACGACATGAGGCATGAGCTGTCCCGAGTGAGCACAGGAGCTGGGACAGCTCAGGGGAAGGTCCTGACATCCGGCCCCACCATCTTCCTACAGCTCCTGCTCTCAGTCCCGGGAGCAGGACTCTGACCTGCACACCCAGCCTCACCTCCCTTCACAGTCCAGAGCCTGTGGCGGGCTTGGCTCCTTCGGAGCTAGGCCCCTGCAGAGCCCCATGGGCAGCCGGGGCCAGCGTGGCCCTCACAGCATGCCATCCTCTCTTACCACTCTGGGCCCTGCCTGCCCAGCTCCTTCCCCCACACCCCATGCTGGCCTGGCCCACTGGGCACTCACTGCAGATCCTGCTGCCTCTGACGCACCACGGGGCCAGCACTGTGCCCACGCGCTAGCAGGCTCTCCGCCAGCAGCCGGCAGGCGGCCACCCGCTGGCCGCCCATCTCCACTTGGCGCTGAAACTTTGCAAACTTGGTGCAGAGGTGCTGAGAAGACGGGAGTGGGTGACAGGGTAGCCCCCGAATGGTTACGCGGCAAGCAGCCTGGGAATTGAGGCACCTCAGTGCCCAACTGGGTGATGTGGGCTTGGACGGCCACGGCATCTGCCCGCTCCACTCAGCAGGTCCGCCTCAGCCACGGCTCACCGCTCTGCACCACCTTCTCCCTCCGCCCCGCCAGGGCCAGCTTCCCCACCCCACAGGCTCTGCCCCAGGACACCCTCCTTGACCCTGGCCCTCTTCTCACCAGGGTGTGCTCGGGGTCCTCCCCCAGGCTCTCCCCTCCTTTGGCCGCCTGCTTCTGGCGTGCCAGCCAGCTCTGCAGGTCCTCAGTCTCCCTCAGGAACTCGTGCAGCTTCAGGGCCCCCTCCAGTTCCCGGTCCCTGTGGTGACAGCCCGTGGTTCCCCAGAAGTGAGTTGCCCGCCCCCCCGGGGGCCAGCCAGGCCAGCCAGAGGGGCCAATCTGAAGAATGGGGTTACTCATGGTCTCTGTCCAAGCCTGCAGCTCGTGATTCAGGCAGTAGTAGACCCAGCAGGGCGAGTGTAGGGGCAGAGGAGGGTGTGGACATGGGGAGATGTGGGGAGATGGACAGCAGGGAGTTGTGGGGCCTCACTGAAGAATTGATGGAAAGAGGTGAGCAACGCATACCCTTCTCCTAGCACCACTCTACAGCCTGGGGTCATGGGTTCTGCTCGACTTAGGGCCATGGCACGGGAACAGTCAGCTGTGGCTAGGCCTCCTGTACCCACTGATGAGAGGGGGTACGGTGCCCTCACCGTGTGGCCGCCAACTCCTGCAGTGCCTGCAGCTGCTCCCGGAGCCTCTCCCGCGCCACACGCTGCTGCTCAGGGGCTTCAGGGCCAGTGAGGGTTTGGGCCCTCTGGTCAAGCTCCTCCATGGAGCTCCAGTAAATGGCTAGTTCCTCCCGTAGAGCCTGTGATGAACGAGGACCCACGCCAGGCTCAGCCTGGGTGACTCATCCACCCACCTGTCCGTCCCCCACCCGTCTAGTCACCAATCCTCATCCATTCACCCACCACTCACACACCCATCCATCTACCTCAACTCACCCATCCGCCCACCCAGCATCCATCTACCCATCACTGATGGAGTAAGGACTTATTGTTCCATTAAGTGAACACCTGGTCTGTGCCCACTGAGGGCTCATTATTTAGCAGGGAAAGGTGAATGCTGGCTAATCTGGGCCAAGGAAGGGAGGGCACAGGAGGCATCAGACTGAACCCCAACCTCCATGTGTGAGAGAGAGGCAGAATTAAGCAAGCTGTCCAGTATAACCGGGGGGGTGCTCCGTGAGGCCAAGGCTACAGGCCTTTAGAAAAGATTCTCTGAAAGTCCTGTCGCAGAACACACTGGAACTGGGGCTGTGCAGAGAGCATGCCCAGACAGGAGGACACTTGAGTGACAGCAGGAACCGGGACGGCTGTGGGCCCCAGGCTTTGGAGCTTGTGTGGTTCTGGGAGTCCAAATTCAGGAGTGAGGAAGGGGACTTCGAGACCTCCCTCCCTTCAGCCAGGGGATGTTTGTGGGAGGAGGTCGGCTTCAGGAAGGGCATTTAGTTAGCTCAAAGGATGAGAGGCAAAGCCTGGGAGGAATAAACCAGTGGGAGATACGGAGCAGGCTGGGGAGGTGACCTCAACAGAGGAGAAAAGTGCGAGGGGTGGGGTAGAGAGGAAGCAAGAGTAGGCGGAGAAACCCCAAAGCCACAGGGAGAGGCAAGACTCATAAGAAGATGAAGGGAGAAAGCATGTACTTCACAGTGCCCTGGTCGCCTTGGAAGAAGGGGCACTGTGGGATCTGGGTGGGCAGTGGGGATGGGGCTGTGTCTCCAGGAAGCAAGAGCAGGGCTCCATGCCTCTGAGAGAGCGAGGGTGGCAGCCCTCTTCCTGTGGTCCATCATCACCCAAGCCACACTGGAGGGGAGGCTCAGGACGTGGTACCTGGTGCTTCTTAATGAGCCTGAGGGTGGCTGCCTCGTCTCTGCCATAGTCCTGACTGCTCACCAGCGGCTGCTTCTCCTTCACCCAGCCCTCCAGCTCTGACACATCCAGAAAGTACTGCCAAGAGTGGGGCCGACTCACCTAGAGGATCTCAGGACTCTCCTTCAGCCCTGGAGACATCTGCCCCTGCTCTCCAGCGTGCTGCACAAAGGGGCTTCTGTGCCCATGGGGCACCCATCAGCTCCCGGCCCAGAGCCCCCACTGACCCGCCTCCCTGAGAGTCCCACAGGTGGCCCCTCAAGGAGCCCTGACTTCTGCCTCGTCCCCCAACCCCACCTCCCTGCATCCTACCTGTTGGAAAGTGACAGCCTGCTGCAGACACCGGGCCCGCGCCTCACATGCCCTCTCCAGCTCTGCCCAGCGGTCTTCCAGCTCCTGGCACTGCTCCATGATGTGTGGGGCTTGGGGGTGCCCTGAAGCTGCCAGGCTCCGCCCAGAACTCAGCACCCGTTGCACCTGCCCCTGGTGAGCTTTTACCTCCACCTGGAGCTCCTGCCACAGAGCGGCTTGAGAGGCTGCTGCTCTTAACCCAGGGGCGTCTGGAGCAGAGCCATGGATGTGGCTCCAGGCCCCAATCATGGCAAGATCCCCAGGGTCAAAATAGCTGGGGCAGAGATTTGGAAATTGGGATACCCAGTGGGGAGGGCTTAGAGGCCAGGACACCCGAGTAGGGGCAGAGCGTTTCTAAGGTCTGGGAAGTGGATGTCCGGAATCATGTAGGAAGAAGGGGGCTATTACCTTGTGCTTGCAGTGAAGGCTCTGGGCATCATTCAAGCACTCGGCATAGCTGGTGGGGTTGCTGCAGGGCATGTGCTCAGCCACCCATGAGAGCTCCATGTTGCTCAGGTCGCAGAACTGGTGCAGCTCCACTGAGGCCTGCAGCTGCAGGCCCCGGATGGCCAGATGCCCCTGCAGAAGCTCCAGCCTAGGAGGGGAGGAAGAGATGGGAGAGGCTGGGAACAGAGTGAGGACGGAGGAGGAAGAGATGGGAGAGGCTGGGAACAGAGTGAGGACAAGGCCCCTGGTTCTTTCCTTGGCCCAGACGGGGCCCGTGAAGAACAAGACCAGGGAACAGAGCAAAGCCCCATCTGACAAAGAGAGGCAGTGGAAGGGCGCCAGGGCCTCACCTCATGGCCTAGATGACTTGCCTGACCACACTGTGGGGGTCCTGCTGAGGATGTATAATGGGGTCTCCAACCCTCCCATCCAGAATGACTCTACCCATAAGAAGGGAGGAGGTCTAGACACGCCAGTCCTGTGGGTGCCACCTTGTGGGAACTTAAATTCACACGGGGGAGTGCCACACAGGTGGGTGGGAGGACAGGCCCCACCTCTGGAGGTGCTTCTGGGTCTCTTCCAGGATGGCCGGGGAGGCGGCCACGATACGGGCCTGGGAGGCGAGGGCAGCCATCTTGGCGGCCAGGGTCCGGCTCTCATTCTCTAGCTGGTGGTGCCGTTTCTGCAGCTTCCGGCTGGAGCGCAGGTCCTGCCCCGTTTCTGAGCCCTGCAGGGCCCCCTCGAGCTGCTCCAGCTGCTCCTTTGCATCCTGGGGAGGGACGCAGGGAGCTGCATTAGGCTCTCTGTGTATAGCACAGCAAGTGGCCTTCCCGGGCTCTGGGACTGTAGGATTTGCAGGACCAGGTTCCCCAGGGACCTCTGTCCCCACCACTGCCAACCCCCAACCAGAAGTGCCCAATCTTCCCCTGTTCCCTCACGCTTCTCTCTCCCTGGGGGACTCAAGCTGTGCTGACCACACGCTGGGCACACAGGAGAGAATCCTGTATTGGCCGACTGAGGGGAAAGCCACGCTCAGCTTGCCCTAGGCCAGAGGCATCCAAAGGCTGCAGAGCCAGGGTCAGCAGAACACCCAGACTTCTCCCTCCCCATTCTGTCCAGTCCAGCCTGGACTCCGTCTCCCTCTTGTGCCCTGTCCCTCTTCCCAGCGGACCTGCAGCTGCCTCAGGAGCTGCTCCCGCTGTCCAGCCTGCCGGAGCTCGTCCCCACGCTCAGTCATCTTGCGGTTCAAGGCTTCCCACCTGCTCCTCAGGCCTTGAAGCCTAGTCTGTATGTCCTCCTGGCCACCGGGCCTCCTACTCAACAGCTCTCTGCCGACCTGGAGTGGAGAGAAAGGCCCAGGGAGCTTGGCTGAGCTGCTGGTACCACCCGTGGCCACAGCGGGCTGGACCTGGGTGGCAGTGGAGGTGAGGGGCTGGCCACAGCTGCATTCCACAGGCTGCCTGGACGAAAGCAGTTCATGTGGCCCCAAAACTGCAGGTAGGAGGGTCCTCTGACCCCGGCAAATGGAGTGAGGTGAGCTGACATTAGGTTGGTGGCTGGGGAAAGCCGTGTTCTGGTAGAGGTGGTCAGCTCTGGGACTTGCCACGGAGAGTTGAGGGGGAAGGGATGGATGGCGGCAGCTTTGGGACTGGTTTGGGTGCCAAGGGGATGCCAGCAGCATCAAGGAGGCTTGGGGAGGGAGGTTCTAAGTTCAAGCTGAGGCGGATTCTTCCTTCAAAGACTCTTCCATGAAAACAGGTGGTGCAGTAGGGTTGGGAATTTGAAGACGAGGAGGCTCTGCACTCTCTGTCCCGTGTCCCCCACCTGCTGCAGGGCCTCCACGTGTCTGCGGGTGGCGAGAAGCTCGCTCTCAGCTGCTTCGTGCCGCTTGAGTGTCCGCAGAATGTTTCTGCGCGCTCCGGAGGGCTCATGTGCCGCCATCAGCTCCTTGTCCTCCATCCACTGCGTCAGCTCCGCCACATCCCATTTCCACTCCTGCCAAGAACCGGGCGAGCGTGGGTCTCAGAGCACGGGGGTGCGGGCTGGTGCAAGGACCTACCTCTAAGGGAAGGGATCCCCCACGGGGAAAAGCAGGACCAGAGCTGGTTCTGGGTGGGGCCTGGGGTTGCTGCTCCCCGTGTGGGGCAGAAGGGCTGTGCCTAGAGAGGAGGAACGCCTGTCGGGTCCTTGCCGCTCTAGCCGACATCAGATCCCCTACGGCTGCATCTCTCCAAACACAGGGGAGCTCAGGGAGCCTCCAGCCCTGCTCTGCTGTGGGGGCTGAGCAAACATTGGACAGAGCCAAGGCTGGCAGCTGGTGCCACGACCTGTGCAAGACCCTAAAGTGTGGCCCAAAGCACTGGGGAAAGGGCGCGGTGGGAGGAGGGGGAGCGTGGGCTTAGTTCAGAGGCCCAGACATCAGGCCCGGCCCTTCGTCTGCGGGCGGTGTGGCCACAGCCCCAGTTTTCCTCATCAGGAAAAACCTGAGCTGTGCTGCCTGCCTCACACAAGGTGTCGAGAGGATGAATGACACAGCAGGTGAGGGAAGTGCTCTGTAGGCTGCACAGAGCTCCGCATGGTCTCAGGCCTTCTTCTCAGGGAGGCCGCATGCACCCTGGGCCCTGCCCCTCACCTGGAGCTGGAGGGAAGCCAGCAGCTGCCTCCTCCTCTGCTCACTCCTGCCCTGGAGCCTGGTCCACTGTGCCTGGACACTCTGCAGTTGCTCTCTGACCCTGGAGGGCCGGGGGAGTTGGAGGAGGGCATGGGAGAGGACTCCCACCGCAGCGTGAGGTGCACTCTCCCCTCACCCCCCACTTTCCCAGCCCCAGGGCGGCCGTCTGTGCAGGCTGAGAAAGGGTCGTCTGCAGGTGCTGCAGACTGAGGCCAGGCTCACATGTGTGCAGCTGGGTGCTGGCTCCGAACCAGCTTCTCGCCGCGTGCCCGCAGAGCCTCTGCCCGAGGCCCCAGGGTGCTCAGGAGCCGCCCAAATTCCCGGTGCTGCTGCAGCAGGCTCAGGGCCTCCCTCACGTCCTCCTGGGAGTGCAGAGACCTGAGGTCATGTCTGGGAGGGTGGGAGTCAGGACCATCTCACCCGCCACTGTCCCAGCCCAGCTTCCGGACCCAAGGGGATGAGCGCCCTCCAGTGACAGGGAGTGACAGCCTAGCTCCACATTCCTGCTCCATACCCCAAGGTTGTCCAGGTGCAGCCAGGACTCGTGGTTGGCACAGGTGGCAGTGAAACCATCCACTTCTCGGCCAAACTTCTGCAGCTCCAGCCCCTCTTGCAGCCACTGCTGCCTCTGCTCCCACACAGCCTTCAGTTTCTGGCCCTGCTGCCCCAGGAGCCTCAGAGTGTTGGCCACCTCTTGGGAGTCTGCGCAGTCCAAGGCTGCCATGGGCTGGCTCTGAGCGTCCAGCTGCTGCAGCCTGACCAGGATGACAGGCAGAGAGTCAAACCCCAGCAGGCCCCCCTTGTCAGCCTCCTCCTACTCTTACCTCCAGGGTTCATGCATCTTGGAGCATGAATGAGACACTGAATGTGATAGACCCAGCAGAGTGCTTAGATTGCAGGGGTTCCCAAGCTCCCACCAGCTCCAGCTGGCCGTCCTTAAGTGTGGACTGTCAACGGCCAATGCCGGGCCTAGAGCACATGCGGAGGCAGCACAGCGCAAGAGAGAAAAATCACATGAGCCACACAAGCACCTGATCCCAGGGCCACTGCAAGCCCCGATGGAGCCTTTGAACAATTAGAAAAGGTGCCCCTTTCAGCAGGTGGCTTGGGAACAGGTAACACCCTTGTGTGAATTAGAGCAAGGCTCCACTTCCTCTGAGCTGCTGCAGCCCTGAACCAGGTACTGGAGTCTGGCAAGCTGAGGACCAGATGCATTTCAGTGCCCACTTGACCACCTGCCAGGCGCCCTCAGGTGGGGCACAGCCTGTGGACTGTCCCTGGTGGCCTTGCCTGCCTGCCAGCCCATAACATCGTCCCTGCAGGAGGAGAGGCACCGCCTGACTGAGAAGGTGGGTATCTCAGGCCCATGGGTGGGTCCTGAGTCATTCCACTTAGGGGCCAGTGGGGTCCGTGTTACCCAGGATGGCAGGGGAGGGTAGATGCCCTGATTGAAAGCAACGCATCGGGCCCACCTGGAGGGGGCCGGCCAGGCCTGGGCTGGAGAGAGCCTCCTAGGCAGCTCAGTGTCCTGGGTCTCTCCTTAAAGCGTACAGGCTGCCTGACCCAGTCCTCAAGCACCAGATGCCAGATGCCAACCAGTCTGGGCCCCTCCCCGGGGAAATCACACTACTCCCTGCATGCTCTTTCTGGGCCTGAACCCAGAGCCCAGAGCCCTGGGACCAGCCCAAAGCACACCCCTTCTGCCCTCCTGTCCTGACCTCTCCTGCCACAGGTGGATCTCCTCCAGCAGGTCTTGGTGCTCCCTCAGCAGCCGCTGAGCCGAGGCCACATCCACCGACTCCTCCTTGCTGCGCAGCTGAGCCTGGACACTCTCTGCCCACAGTAGCAGTTCCTGGTTCTCTTGCAGGAAGCTCTGCCGGGCCTGAGCCTCAGCCTGGCCCCGGGCCTGTTGGGCCACTCGTTCCTGTACTTGCTTCAGCAGCCCCTGCAGTGTCTCCACCTGTCCTTGCAGAGGCTGGCTCTCTGCGTGGCCTGACTCCTCGACCCTGGAAGACAGGGTACGCTGCACAGTCAGTGACCTGTCCTAGGCCCAGTGCCCCAGGCGCATGTCCTCCTCCCAAACCTGCATCCCCCAGGGAGAGTGGTGGTGACTCTGAATGGCCCACCCCACCCTTGACCTGGGGGCAGCAAGAACATAGGGCTCTTCCTGTCCCCAGGAGCATTTTCTGCTGATCATCCCCCCCATCTTTGCCAGAGCGCTTCTGACAGCCCCTCCTACCTGTCCTCTCCCCAGCCCAGTTTCTGTCCCTTCCTCATTTCACTACCCTGCCCACGCCTTCCCATGGTCGTCACTGCCTCCCAGTGCCACCACTGCACTGGCCGTACTTTATGACCACCCTTTGGAGGAGGTGGACCCTCCTCTCCAGCACCAGAGTCGTCTTCTGGGCCAGCTGCAGGGTGTGGCGGGTGTCCTCTGAGCTCCCCGGCTGCAGGGCCTCCAGCTGGAGGAGCACGTCTCGCAGCTGGACCTGTGTGGGTCCACACTCCTGCAGAAAACTGCACGCTTCCGCACTGTGCGCCAGCTGCACGGCCTTCTCCCTCTTCAGGGCCTCCAACTGCCCCCACCTGGGCAGAGGGTACGAGGTTGTCTCCACCACAGGGACACCTCCCCATCCATCCTGGAGCCTTGGCCAGAGCCTCACATGACAGAAGCTGCCAGACTGGCTGTCCCTTGCCCCTTCCCTGTGCCTTGGACATGTCCAGCCTCTCCACCTGGCACGGTGGGAGGAGGTGAGTCAGGCCCAGGCTGGGCATTGCGTCCGCCTGCCTCGCCACCTGCACTCCTGCCTCGTTCTCACCTCTGGCTCAGTTCCTCCTGCTGTCGTTGGATTTGTGTGGAGTTCCCAGGATATCTCTGCCTCAGTTGCTCAGCAGAGCTGCTGACCTCAGCCCAGAGGCCCTTTCCCACAGCCAGGGCAGTGAGGAAGTTCTAGGGAAAAGGAGGACCCAGGCCTCTTGGGGGGCTTTATCTTTTTCCGCACTCCCCTCAAGCCTATGATGTACCTCAGTGGTCCTCTCTGCTACAGGGGTGCCCACGTTGCCTGCCCCTGGAAGCACAGCCATCTGAGTCTTAAGGGCCAGGAGGCCCTGGAAATTCAGGCCAGCTCTCTACTCCCCTCCCCCAGGCAGGACGGTAGTTAAACTGGAGAACTGAGTTACAGCAGCGGACCACAGGGAGGCAGGGGCAAGGCGAGGAGGAGGTGCCAAGCTCCCAGGGCTGTACCTCATATTTGAGCTGTGTGACTTCCAGGATGTCAGCTTGGGGCTGCACCCTTTGGAGCAGCGCTGTGTGCTTCTCCAGCCACAACTGGAGGTCCCTACAGGAACTGCAGAAGCTAAACAGGGCCATGGCCTCCTCCAGCCGGGCCCTGCGGCGCTGGAGAGAGGTGGCCCAAGGCTGGGGTGAGGGTCGGGGAAGGTCAAAGGGGTGCTCCTCCCTATCCCAGCCCACCAGCAGAGCCCAGGGTCAGGGCCAGAGGGGGTCCCTGCTTCACTGCTGGGCCCCACATCCTCTCTCAGAGGCCTCTTGGCACCACCTGGAGGGAGCTGGCAAGGGCTTAGGGTAGGGTAAAGGGACCTGGCAGTGTGCTCCTGTCTGGCCTTGCCCTGCTGAAACCCCTCAGTGCCAGCTCTGCTCTTAGGTGAAATCCACACCGCTCCCTCTGCCTGCTCCACCTCCACCTGCCTCTCTAGTCTCTCCTCTGGCCATGGCCTCCCCAGCATCTGTGCTGCGGGCACCCGGGTCTTCCCTTCCTTCACTGGGCCCCCTTCCTACCTTTGCACAGGTCCTGGCCAGCACCCCTGGGTTTACCTGCTTTCTGTTTCTCATTCAAGCCTCAGCTTAAAAGTCCTTCCCTCCAAGGTGTCTTCCCTGACCTCCAGCCTGACCTGGGCTACCTTCTCATGTGATCCCATCACACCCGCATCTAATGAGTTGTCTAACATCTTCTTGGCCATGATAAAAGCTCCTTGAGGACAGGGAACATGTTAGTCACTGCCTTCTCCCCTGGGATCATTGCACAGGAGTTTCTGGCACAGGGTAAGGACTCGAGCATTTCTTGAAAAAGAAGTGTTACCTCTGCCAGGGCCCGCACACTCTCATAGTCCTGACCCAAGTGGTCCTGTGTCTGGAGTATGGTGTTGGGATCAAAGTCAGGGTCAGGCTCAGCTGGGAGCGCGGTGTTCCAGGCATCCCCAGGGTGGCAGGAAGCCTCACTCCAGGGCCCTGGGTTCCTCAGGCTTTCTCCTGGAGGGCTCAGGGCAGACTGCACCTGTGTGACAGAGGCAGCGTGTCTAGAGAGGGCCCCATCAAGCAGCAGGGGCTTTGGCCACCCCCGCCTCTGTGCCCTGAGACCTGGAGGGCCTGAGCTGTAGCTCAAGGGGTGTGTGGGACATGGGTCTGGGGGACAGGAAACTTCCTTGGGGCTGAGAGTCGAGGGGCCAAATGTGAGCACAGGATCCGATGGCTTTGACTTCCACATCATGTGCTACACACACAGCTTCTTGAATGGGGGCTGTGAGCCAAGCTGTACGTGTTTTAAAGAACTTTGGGGGCTCAATGAACTGAGCAAGGGGTGTCAGAAGGCAGTCTGAGGCAGTGATGAGTCCAAACCACCAAGGAGGGCTAAGTCAGGAGAGACAGCCAAACAGGGCTGAAGGGTCACTACCGGCCTGGATGCAAGTGGAGGGAACCTTCCTGGAGGAAACTGCTTAACGCTCTGAAACTGCCAGCAACGGGAGCCAGGCCAGGCTGTATCTGGAGGCCCTCGGTCGGCGTGGGCAGACAGGATTCCAGTACTTCTGGGCTAGGTCAACAAGTGAGATGCCCCTGAGGACTAGGGTGAGGGACACCCACAGCCACGGGAAGGCCACGAATTCCAGGCCAGAGGCCACAAAGGCCCTCCCATTTTTGTCCTCTGTGTGGCCCAGCGGCAGTAGAGCAAGGGAGACCAGGCGACCTTCCCTGTCCCCCGTCCGCACCGTGAACAACGACGCCCGGGCCGAGGCCGCCCGCGCCTGCTCCTCCAGCCGCCGCAGCTCGGCCGCGAAGGCGCGCAGGACGCGCTCCAACCGCACGTGGCGCCGCAGCAGCGTCTCCGCGGCCACCTGGTCTTGACCGCAGGACGCTCTCTCCAGCGAGGATCTCCGCTCGCGCAGCCACGAAGCTGCCTCCGCCGCGTCCGCGAAGTACTGCAGGAGGGGGTGGGGGGGTGTGTGGATGAAGCGGCGCGGCTGAGCGCTGGCAGGTTCCGGCACCCCCATCCTCCGCCTCGCCGGGCCCCGCCCCTACCCCGCCCCGCTACCTGCACGACCAGCAGGGCTGTCTGCAGCCGTGCGCCGTGCTCCACCACCCGGGTCTGAAGCAGCTGCCACGCGCCCTGCACGGCCTCTGCCCGTTCCCCGGGATCCGGCTGCGTCGGGGGCCTGCGGGCGCTCAGGTCGCGTCCCCTCCGCACGAGATCTACGCATACGGCCTGGTGGCGGTGGACCTCAGCTTCCAGGGCCTAGCGGCGGGCAGAGCAGGGGACTCAGTGAAGGAAGAACAGGGGAGGGCCCGGGGGCCGAGAGGGAAGGGTGCAGCGCTAGCGACTGGCGGGCGTGCACGGGGAGCTGCCACCTTGTGTTTCTGCAGGGTGCCTGCGATCTGGCTGAGATCCTGGCTCAGGACCGCATTCCCCACCCGCTGTCCGCACTCCTTCAGCCAGGCTTCCTCCTCTTCACAGTTGCACAGGAACTCTGCCCGCTGTAGGGTCTGCTCCAGCAGGGCCCGCCTGAGGAACAGTAGGGACCACTGAAGGACATGGGGAGTAGTGGGGCATGGGCAGTGGGTTCCCCTCAGGCGTTAGACACTCCCCTTAGGGTTTTTCTTTTCCCTGGATGACTCAACAGGTGAGACAGAGGCTTTGGAAGTGAGGGTCAGTATGGAGAAAACTGCCAGGCCAACAGTACTTTAACCTGGGCAGGAGATAATTTGGGTTACAGAAAAGTTCTGGGAAAGGTGGAAGAGTTGGGGCAGTCTCTTACCGGGCCCTGACAAGAGCCACCAGGCTCTGGTGGAGCTGGACCAGTGTCTTGGCCTTGGCCTGCACCACCTCCACACTGGTGCCCAGGGAGGAGTCCAGCTCTGCTGTCTGCTGGGCAAGATGGCTCACATGGGCTCCGTGGGCCGAGACTTGGGCCTCCAGCAGGTCATGCCTCTGCAACAGCTCCACCACTTCTGCCAGCTGCTGCCCACAGGCGGTGGACCTGGCCGGCCCCTGGCCAGAGATGAGTGGTCATTGCAGTGGCCCCAAAGTGCTGGGTCCCTCTGAGCACTGGCACTGGGGAAGTCCCCCCTCCTACTGTGTTTCCCAAGGGCCTGCTGGTCCAGTGCCCACCTGCAGCTCCTCTAGCTGGTGGGAGGCAGCCTCCACCTCCTGCAGCAGGCTCAGCACAGCCTGCATGTCTGCCACCTGCTTCCTCTGTCCCTGCAGACGCTGAAGGAGCCTCTGCCAGCGCAGGGTAACTTCCTCCTGCCTGGAGGACGTGAGAATAAGGGAGATCTCCTCTGGGTTGGGGCAGGGAAGCTACTTCAGGGTTCCCCGGTCCGTGATGGGGCTTGGCTGCCCTGGAGGAGTCTGACCTCTGTGGCTGGGGCAAGGCCTACGGACTCTGAGAGCATCCTGGCAGGGGGTGGGAGGGGCAGTGTGTCCTATCTTTGGACACATGCAGAGAAGCCAGAAGGAGGGCCTGGAAGGATCAGGCTGTCAGGGCCCCCTACCTTGCATGCAGTCCCCATCTCAGTTGATGAAAACTCCATCCTTCCAGGTGCCCAGACTAAAATCTTTTTTTTTTTTTTTTGAGACAGAATCTGCTCTGTCACCCAGGCTGGAATGCAGTGGTGCAATCTTGGCTCACTGCAACCTCCACCTCCCAGGTTCAAGTGACTTTCCTGCCTCAGCCACCTGAGTAGCTGGGATTACAGGCATGGGCCACCATGCCTGGCTAATTTTTGTCTTTTCAGTAGAGATGGGTTTCACCATGTTGGCCAGGCTGCTCTCGAACTCCTGACCTCAGGTGATTCACTTGCCTTGGCCTCCCAAAGTGCTGGGATTGCAGGCGTGAGTCGCCGGGCCCGGCCTAACATCTTGATAACTCATTTTCTCACAGGCCACGTCTGATCTGTCTGCAAATTCTACTTGGCACTGTCTGCAAAATCTATCCAGAACCTCACCCCTTATCACCACTGCTGCTCCATCCTGGATTACTGCAATAGCTTTGTAACTGGTGTCTCTGCTTCTGCCTCTGCCCCTTGGATCTATTCCCAACATGACATCCAGGTGAGCATCACAAAACAAAAGTCAGATCGTGTCACTCCTCTGCTCAAGTCCTCCACTAATTTCCCATCTCTGAGTAAAAACCAAATCGTTACTGTACCTGCAAGGCCGGGCTTGACCTCCATCCCCACCCCTCACCCCTGTGCCCGCCTGACCTCAGCTCCTGCCACTTGTTCACTTTGGCCAACACTGGCCTTCAGGCTACTTTTCAAACCTGCTAGGCATGCGCTCGCCTGAAAGGACACTGCATTTGCCGTGTCCTCTGCCTAGAATACTCTGTCTCCCGTGTCTGCATGGCCAGCTGCCCACTTCTTTCTGGTCTTTACTTGGAAGTCAACTTCCCAGTGAATCCCCTCTAGTGACTCAACCTTAGCACCTCATATTCCCCTATCCTCTTTATTGTTATTATTATCATTATTATTATTATTTTTTGGAGATGGAGTCTCGCTCTGTTGCCCAGGCTGGAGTGCAATGGTGCCATCTCTGTTCATTGCAACCTCTGCCTCCCAGGTTCAAGCGATTCTCCTGCCTCAGCCTCCCGAGTAGGTGGGATTACAGGCACTCGCCACCATGCCTGGCTAATTTTTGTATTTTTTAGTAGAAACGGGGTTTCGCTATGTTGGCCAGGCTGTCTTGAGCTCTTGACCTCAGGTCATCCTCCTACTTCAGCCTCCCAAAGTGCTGGGATTACAGGCGTGAGCCACCGTGCCCAGCCTCTCCTTTATTATTATTATTTCTTTATTACCATATGCTATGAATTTTTCTTATTTGTCTGTTTTCCTTAGTAGTGTGTAAGCTCATGAGGGAGGGAATTTTTGTTTGTCCTCTTCTCTGCTAAATCTCCAGCAGCTAGCACAGTGTGTGGGATGTAGTAGACACTCAATCAATTCTTGTTTAGTGGATGAATCAGAGGCTACCTAGGAAGTGCTTTACCAATAGGGATGAATTACTGATGGTGGACTTGCAAGCATCACTGGGAGATAGATCTTTGTAGAGGGAGCCCTGAAACCATAAATCACCCCTCTCCTCTCTGGCACAGAATGGGCACATGACATGGAAGGATGGGGGTGTGGTAGGAGAGCCTCAGCCAGTTGTGAGGAGAGTTCATGTGCTGGGGCTCACCTGCGGGCCACATCTGCCCAGCTGTGGTACTGCTCCTGCTGGAGGATGTCTGCAATCTCAGCCAGGGCCTGGAAGCGCCCCTCCTGGGGCAGGATGCCAGCTTCCAGCATGCCCAGCCTCTGGATGGCTGCCTCCACCATGGCCAGGCTGGCTGGCAGGGCTCTGGCCTGGTCCAGCACCTGCTCTGCATCCTTAAGGAAACTCTCCCGGAGAGCTGCCTTGCGCTGGAAGCGCCGGGCCAGGGTTTCTAGCCGCTCCAGCTGCAGTAGCCTCTGCTGCAGGGCCTGGCTCCTTGCGGCCTCTGCCCATTCCAGCCCTGCCCAGCACTGGGACAGCTCTGCAAGGCCCAGGCCCTCAGGAGGCAGGAAAAGCCTGCGGTTCTGGGCTTGGAGTGCTGTCTGTAGCCGGAAGAGCAGGGCCTCTGCAGCCCCTCGCTGCTGCAGCCGGGGTGGCTTCTCCTGGGTGCGGAAGATGGTGAACGCTGCCAGTAGCTGCCGCATGGCGGGCAGCGAATCTGGGAAATCCCGCGCCTCCAGCTGCGCCTGCTTCTCTGCAATCCAGCATAGCAGGTCGGCCACCAGCTGCTCGTACTGGGTCTGTAGCGCCTCTGTCTCCTGGAGCTGAAGCAGGATCTGGTGGAGGGCATAGGAAAGGGTCAGGGTCCTTCTCGGGACAGGCCCCGGAATGGACACTGAGTGCCAGCCAGAGTTCCCCAGGTGGGCTGTAAGCTACTTCTCTGAGCCGAAGATCCTTTGAAGTGGTGGTACCCCCACCCCGGAGAACTGGGTTTGCTTGCATTGCACACTCAGACCCAGGAGCTTGGGGCCCTCTCCATGACTGAGGGTGAGGCTATCCTGCCTTCCTCCTCTTGTTTCACCCATTTGGCCTCACTGGTGGGGGTTGAGGCCCTTCAGGCTGCTGTTCTTTTTCTAGGCCGCCTTTCCCTTCCCTGCACCCCCTACCCCGCAAAGCAGCTGACAGCCCTTGGCCTGTGTCCCCCCCACCCACACCCCAACTGAGATACCCACCCTGAGAAGAGCACTTCCAGGCCTCAGCCTCTGCCATCGTGTCCAGAGAGTAAGAAAGCCCCCCAGAAACATGAACTCTGTGTGGCCCCAGCCGGCAGAGCCTCTTCTGTGCCTGTCCTTGCAGAATCCTGGCTCTCTAAGCCTTTTAATCCCATTAGAAGCTTAATAGCCTGAGAGGCGGGGAGAAGGGAGGGGCCCAGGAGGGGCCGTTCCTCCCCTGGCTTCCCTTGTATGCCAGGCACCATGCTGGGCCCATGACCCGTGCTCCCTGGAACACTCACAAGGGCCTTCTGTCATCCAGGCAGCATCATCTCCATGTGATAGAGGGTGCACAGTGAAGTTGGGTGACTTGGCCAAGGCCACGCAGCTAGTACGTGGCAGGGCAGGCTTCATGCTTAGGCCTGTCTGCCTCTGGAGCCCTTGCTCACCCCACCCCTCCTTTCTCCCCCACCTTAATGAGTCTCCTCTGGACAGTCTGCCCCTGATGCAGGCGGGAGCAGTAGTGGTAGTAGAGGGAGACGTAGGTCATGATGGAGCGCTCATCTGGCTGTGTGGCTGCCACGTCCTCGGGGTCCAGCAGCTGAGCGATGCCCAGCTCCTGCTCAGCCACCAGGAAAGCAAAGGCGAGGTTGTGCAGTGGGCGGTCTGGACGCAGGGAGCTGTAGTCCAACAGGTCTGGCCTGGAAAGAGAGCGAGAAGGGCTCTTCACCAGCAGGAACCTATTGCTTTCCTTTCAGTAGATTCTTAAATGCACTCATGCTCCTATTGGCCATTCACATCTTCTTGTGAATTCATTTTCCCAATAGTTATCTGAGGCCCTGCTGAAGGAGTAGGACTCTGATAGAGAAAGAGGAGGGTTCATTTGGCACAGGGACCAGGCTGGGGGGCTGGGGGAACCTCCAAAGGGCAAGTGCTGCCAGGGTGAAGAACATGAATAGAATTGAGGGGCACAGGAAGTGCAGAAGACTAGGGTCAAAGGTAAACTTGGCCAATCTTCGTAGGGAAGGGAAAGGGGCTAACCCAGAGCAGGGACTCAGACATCAGCCCCTTCTACATCTGTGTCCACTTTCCCTCCTTCAAGCCTAGAGATGTGGGACAATGGGCAGGCTGAGGACCCAAACCCAGGCGTCGTTGGCCAGTGGGCGGAGGCCTCCTGACGAGGGTGGGGTCACACCTGTGGGCATGGATGAGGGCATTGAAGCCCAGCCCATCGCTCCAGCTTCGGGAGAAATCGGTAATGTTCACGTTGGTGTAGCTGGCTGTCTTCCGCTGGCACCAGACCAGTAGGGCTTCCTTGGTGGACAACAGGGCTGCACTGGCCCCGAACTCCTCCTGGCAGGACAGGGCAGCGGGGTCACCATGCAAGGACGGGGTGGGGAGGCAGACAGCCTACAGGCTGTGGGAGAGGCAGGCTGGCCACAGCCGGATCCTGCTTCTCCCCGGCCCGGGGTCAGTGTGACTCTCCTCTCTTTAGAGTATCTGATTTTACCCAATTTCATCCACGGTGGGCAGGGGTTGGGGGTGAGAGCGACGGGCCTTCCAAAGAAGTGGAGCAAGGGAAAGTCGTCCCTGCAGAGGCGCTGGCTTTGCATGACCACAGGTGACCACACAGCAACAGCTCCCATTTTATGAGCCCTCTGATGGGCCAGGTGCTGTGCTAACTGACCTCGGGCTCATGGGATTGTGGCTGGGTTTCATGAGACTGGGTCGCGTCACTGCAGGCTTTCTGTGAGCCAGGCCCGATGTTATGGGCTGGAGTGCAGTGGTGCCATCTCGGCTCATTGCAACCTCCGCCTCCCAGGTTCAAGCAATTCTCCTGCCTCAGCCTCCCTAGTAACTAGGGTGACAGGGACACACCACTATGCCTGGCTAACTTTTTGTATTTTAGTAGACGAGGTTTCAGTATGTTGGCTAGGCTGGTCTCAAACTCCTGACCTCAAGTGATCCGCCTGCCTTAGCCTCCCAAAGTGCTAGGATTACAGGTGTGAGCCACCACGCCCAGCCTCACTTCCTGTTTATAAACTCAAAATATCGAGGTTCAGCGGGTTGCACTTCCCCTGCCCTCTGGGCCCCAGAGCTTGGGTAGGAAGGATGTGCATGGTGCCCACATGCCGGGGAGTGGAGTCTCAAGGCCCTGGGTCCTAGTGAGGTCAGGCCCCAGTACCCTGCATGGTGGGGCCAGGCTGGCAGACGGAACTAGGGAAAACGCTGGGATGGCTTGTGAGGGAGCAGGGCTAGCCTGAGCCCAAACACATCTGAGTCAGCAGCAAGCAGGGCCAGAGGGGGCCGCAGACAGGCAGAGACGGTGCTTCTCCCAGGGGCCTAGGCTGCAGGGGGCACCTGAAACTGGCCAGGGGCCTGGGGAGGTGAGTATGGCTTCCTGAAAGGGCTTGAGGTCAGTTAGAAATCCATCCGCCCCTCCAGCCTTCAAATAGATGCTCAGCCCTGCAGACGCACAGTTCTCCTGCCCTCCTGGGGCTCAGGCCCTGAGTTTCCAGGCCGTCCTGGACTTGTGCCAGATGTGTGGCGTCTTTTCATGAGGGTTTCATTCTCCAGGTTGACTTTCCTTACCTACTAGAATTGAGTTTTAGGTGGCATTCTGGAAATCATGAAACTATGAAAAAGGATAAGTATAAGGACTCTTTTTTTTTTGAGACAGGGTCTCACTCTGTGACCCAGGCTGGAGTGCAGTGGTGCGATCACAGCTCACCACACCCTCGACAACCTGGGCTCAGTTTATCTTCCCACCTGAGCCTCCCGAGAGCTGGGACTACAGGCCTGTGCCACAAAGAGTTTACAGTCTTTCTGATCCAGTGCGGGGGAAAGAGGTAGAATGGAGGAAGCGGGGGGCCATGAAAGAAACCCTGTCTTTGGTCTGCAGGGTGCCGCGGACTTTGTAAACCTCCAGAGCTGGGACTCCCTCCACACATTGCATTTCTCCCAACAGTACATTGTGGTATAATGGAAGTTACAGAGCCTCAGTGCCAAGTGGGGAGCAACACACAGGGGTGAAAGTGGGTGCTGGCAGTGACCATGAACCCTCCCTAGTGAATGACTTGCCCAGACCTGGTTTGAAGTCCATGGCCCTGTCCCTCACTTTAGCATATTACAACGTTACAGTATCTCTGGTATCCTGGGTTCTTCACCCATGGTTGAAGAGTGAATACTGACTTTGCAGTTTCCAAGATCTCCTATGGGAATCATAAAAGTTGCATGGAACTTCTCAGTCCCCAGGAGTCTGAGGTGAGGCGAGGGCTGGGCTGAGTCACCAGGTGCTGGGTGCTGGGGACTGAGCCATACCTTGTCCAAGGAGATGTGGGAGATCTGGAAACGCAGAATGATGACCCAGATGAGTCCCAGGATGAGTGTCTGGTCTCCATCCACGATGTTCTCTGGCCCGATGAGTGGTATTGGCACCTGTGGGCACAGTTGGCTGGGCTAAGCCATGAAGCCCATGTCCAGAGAGGACTCAGTCACCAAAAGCTTAGGGTGCCAGCTGCGGGATGGGAGGGTCCTGGAATCTATCCTGCCCCAGCCGGGAGGTCCCCCAGGGAGAAGCCGGCAGGGGATAAGTCCAGGAAAGCAAAGGCGTCCCGCCTGGTTGGAGCCATGGCCTCAAGCCCACCTGGGTGAAACCCCAACCTGGTGAACTGGGCTGGGCCGCTAGAGCAGCAGGACCCCCTGTGTGTGGGCTACAGGTAGACCTCGGCCAAAATCAGTGGTTCAGCTACAGGGTTTGGAAATGAGGGGTCATAACAGTCAATGTGTGAGCCCAACAGACAATAGCAACTGTCCACCTCCATCTCCCAGGGTGTCCTGGGATATCCGGGGGTGGGTGGGTCCCTGGGCTCACACCCAGATCTCAGCCTTCTTCATCTGTTCCAGCTCCAACACGGCCAGCTATAAATCCAGATTCCCAGGCTCCACCCAGTCAGACTGCCTTGGGCCAGAGCCTGAGAATTTGCACTTGAACAACACCTTGGGTGGCTCTTAAGTACACCAACGTTGAGACTCCTCTGCCCTACATCTTGCCACGTGGACAGGGAGGATGGGTGGGTCAAGGGGAGAAGCCCCGCAGGGTCTGGCCCCCAGCCCCCTCTGGCTCCATCTTCCTCTCTGTGGAACCACACAGCTCCAAGCCCATCGGATTCTTGTAGTTACGTGGGATTCTAAGCACAGGACTTCAGACCTTTGCACGGCCGTGCCTGCTGTCTGAAAGTATCCTCCCAGATAACTGCATGGCTATTCACCTCCCTGCCTTTGACTCTTCATGCAAATGTTGCCTAGCCTGACCACTTTATTTAACATAGAAACCTAAGGACTATTTCTCCCACCCAAATACACACTCTCGATCCCCTTGCCCTGCTCAAGTGAGGATCTTGACTTTGTTTTCTGATGTATCCTAGTGGAGTGGCACACAGCAGGGAATCAATCAGTAAGTACCGAATGGAGAAAGAAAAGGAGTGAGACGTTCCCTAAGACCTGAAGGGCAACTGGCTTCACCCAGCCACTACTAGCCCTGTGGGAGGAGCTGCAGCCCTGGGTGTCCCCCGGGTAAGCTTTGGTATATCCGGCTGGTCGCTAAAGGATTCCACCCGTGCTCCTGGGGTGGATTCCACCTGGCGTGTCAATCACCTTGCCTTAGAGTTGGAGCCTCTGGGGAGTGGGGTGTTTGTCTGCTCCTCCCAGCTCCTGAGAGCCCAACCTCCCGACTTCCTATTGAGCGATGTCACACTGGTGACTTAAACTCACCGTGCTGGGGGTATTAACGCCATAGGATCAGCGAATACAGCACACTGGAGCTTTTATTTTCCCCAGAGAATCATTTGTTAAACATTTACCAGCATACCGCTGATCTGGGTTCAATGAACCTGTCTCCCATTGAAGCCAGATGCCTCGAGGTGGGGGTCTGGGCTTTGCTTAGTGTAGCCCAGTGCCTGCATAGAATGCCCAGGGCATGGGAGCGTCTCCATAAGTGAGTGCATCCCTCATTCTGCCACACATTCCCTGTGTGTTTGCAGCTCCCTCGTCCTTTCCAGACCACAGTTGCCTCCTATGTGTATGGAGACGAGGATGTCACCCTCACAGGTATCAGTGACATGCTGTATATAAAGCTTGGGGAGAGCTGCAATGCCTCTGACAAAGGCTATGGAACTTACACCCCTCCCACATTCTTGGAGGGGAGATGACTGGCTCACAGGGTCACTGTCCCTGGATCAACTAGGGCCCAGCATTCTGCAGCTGGCAGAGTTCTGCTCTCGCACCTGCTCAGGACAGCGGTCGCTCCCCTTCCCTTTGCTTGGGTTTCTCCCCTCCCTGGCTTTCCTCCCACACACCAGTACCCCAGGAGGCTGGACAGAAGCTCCACTCCAGGACATAGTGATGGAAATGCACAGTCAGGCTCCGTCCAGCCAAGCCCAGCTCAGTGACTTCACAGCCTCCAGGGACAGCACCTCCAGGAGCCCTTGGTCTTCACGTTTCCTGGTTCCCAATGATCCCTTTGCTCCACCCCACCCCTGCACAGGCCCCTCACCCTGGCCATAAGGGTCCCTCTGTCCCTCGAGCTCTGGCTTCCTTTTAGCGGCCATCTCCTTGACCTGTCCCTTTCTTTCAGGTAACTCTGGCTCCCCTCATTTGCTGAGGCCTCCTCTCTCCTTCTCCAGGACAGGCCCTGCTCCTCTTCCCCACCCACCATCTTAGTGTCCGCGTCTCTTCCCTCTGTTTCCCACTTGATGCCAGCCCACCATGGCCCCACATCTGGGCTCTGTTGGCCGGTTAACCATCGATCTTGCCTGGTAAATAATTCAGGGCCTCTGTTTTCTCATCTGCGAAATGAAAAGCCTAAGATTCTTTCGGCCTAGAATCCTGTGAGTCTCTCTTATGACAGAGTGACATTTTCCACCCCAGTAGGGACATGGATCGCTCCTGCCGCGGCCAGCTGGGTGCTCTCCAAGTCAGGGGTGCTGTGCGAGGAGGGCTTGGCTTCTGCTCCTCTGTGTCCCAGCTGCTCCCCCTGTACTCAGGCCCCAGCTCCTCTGCTCTGCCCTGTGACCTGTCCCAGGAAAGGTGACCCAATAGTTCAGCCTGTCCCAGCTGCTTGCCCCAGCACCATCCCAGACCCCTTTCCCTGGGGCCCACCTTGGCCCTGAGGAAGGCCAGGGCTCGGCTGCTGTTCTCCAGGAAGTGCACGCGCAGGCGGCCCCGGCTGGGGGGTGGCAGGGCCTCCCCTGAGATAAGCTCCAGCAGCCGCAGGAGGTGGATGCCATCAGCCAGCTCTGTGTACAGGTTCCGGATCTTGATGCCCACCTGGGGAGGGGACGGCGGCAGGTATGGGGTCAGCCCAGCTTCACCTGTCCTCCCATCCTGGGACCTGAGAGGTGTGACCCAGAGCAGCTGCCTTGGAAGAAGGAGCTCTGGCCTCAGCTTGGCCTCAGGCAGATGACCCCACAGCTCGCCCCCGAGGGCCACTGGCCAGAGCTGGGGGCATGGTACGGGCGGGCTGTGGGTCACAGCTGGCTATACTCACCTGGCCGCACTGGAAGACGTTGTTGATCCACTTGGTGAAAGTCTTCTCCTGCATCTGCATGTGCCGGGCCTGCAGCTTGCGAATGTGGCCCGTCTCGTACTGAGAGTCCACGGTGAGACTTGGACTGGGCGGGACCCGGAGGTTCGTGCTGGGCCTCCTGCTGCAGCGCCCTGCAGCTCCGAGGAGCTCCCGGGGACTCTGGGGCTGACCAGCCATCAGGCCTGCAGCCCTTTGGGGATGAGGAACTGCTGGACAGCCCCCTAAACCTGGAGGGCATGCAGGTTAGGGGATGATGTGCCAGGGGCCTGGGGTCCTGCCTTGCCAGACTGTCCTCACATTTCATGGTGGTTGCAGCTTGGAGACCAGCCAGGCAAGGGCCAGTGCTTCTGATCCCCTGTGCTTGAATGTCCCAGGGTCCCCTTTGCCCCACCCCACCTTCCAGATTCTTCTTTCCAGAGCCCCTGCTGCCAGGTCCCTCTACTGCAGTGACTGGAGTAGGTGGAAGGAAGACAGGAAACTGCTTACCTTGGTGACGCCTGGGTCCTGTGGAGGTGACCCTGCTGGATGGATGGAGATGGCAGATAGCAGGGGTTGTGCAGGGAGGGAGAGGGACATCAGGAGAGGCCGAGGCTGGAGTGCAACCGCACCACAGCCGTCCCCTTGAGCCAGCGTGCTGGGGTGACGGCACACAGGCGACATTGTCCTCCCACCTGCCACAGGGCGTGGCCCAGACTGGGAGGGGGTGGCTCAAGAATGCTCCAGGGCCATTGCCAGATGATCTCCTCCTTCATCATCCTCCCTTCCCCACCAGCAACTTCCCCAACTCCAGGTGGGGGTCCTGGCTCCCAGGACGCAGAGGCCCTTGGGGTGGTCCTGCCACCCCGGGTTGGAGCTCTGTGGGGGTGCTGCAGTCTGCGTAGGAGGCACCGAAGGGCAGAGCCTCTGTGGGAAGCCTGTGGACGCACTTCCCAATCTGAGGCTGCCCTCTGTACCCTCGTGGGGCCTCTCTGTGAACACCCAGGGCAAGGGTATGAGGGAGCGTCCTGGGCCATGGTCTTCTCATTCACCCCCAGGGAACAGCCCATAGACTGAGGGCCTCACACACCCTGCGCTTGGCTTTCCAGGCCCTGCCAGAGGTGCAGCCTGCCAAGCCTGGGGCTGAAGGGTAGGCTCCCCGGAGGAAGGGGCGACCTGGAACTGCTGGGGCTGTGGAGTCTCCTCCAAAATGAGAGACATGGTGTTAACTCTGGGCTCCACAGAGCTGGCCGTGACCCAGGGCTCGGAGGCAGGGGTGCACAGGGAGCTGGTGGGCGTCTATCCCTTCCTCCCCGAGCAGCCGTGGACTGCATGCCAGAGTGAAGGCAGGTTCTAATTCTGGTGGTCTCGCCCCCCTGTGGCTAAACTCAGGGTAGCAGTGTGGGCTGGGGTGCGTGTTTGTGGGTGTCTCCCAGTAGCCCCGGAGTCTCTGAAGCGACAGCCCACTCCTCAGGGAGGTGCTCCTGGCAGCCACAGCCCACAGTAAGACAGCAGCTGAGCCCGTCCTTGAGAGCTGGGCTAGGGAGTCACACCTGAACTGCCTGGGCCCACTGCAGGCAGTCAGGGGTGACGCTGAGAGGTGCCGTGGTCTCGGGTGGGGTGCAGCTCCCTGCGTCTGAGAGACGCTTTCTCTCCTGCTGTCCTCTCCCTGCCAGGCCCCTCCTGCACCGGCTGGCTTCCAGACACCCTGCGCTCCTTCCTTGCTTCCAGCAGTTGCAGTGGTGGTCCTCCCGTGCGTCCCCCTTCTGCCCTCACTGCCCTGTGGGTCCTTGTCACCGACCCCCTAACTCGGCAGCCTAGGCACCACCACCCCGCACCTTTCCACAGTGCAGCTCTGCTCACGCCTGTGAAGCCTCCCACCGCCTGGGAAGGAAAACTCAGACTTGCCAGACCTTGCCTCAGCTAGGACTTTGAAGCCCGCCAGGTTACCTAACCAGGCCAGTCTGCCCGCCTCACTCTGGGTGCTCTCCATGGGCCACTCACCATTTCCTGAGCAGGACCAGAGCTCTCCTGCCCCAAGGCTGGGCTTCAGCTGTTCTTTCAGCTTCGAACGTCCCTTCCCACTCTCCGTCATCCACATTCACCTGTCCTGTCTGACACAGTTAAAATCCTGTTTCTTCTAGAAACAACCTCATCCCACTCGCTCACCCTAGGGAGACTAGCTTGTTCCTTCTCCTAGTAAGACCCTCAACCCGTGGAGTCCTGGGTGATGCTGTGAGCGCGGGAGGACGGACTGAACTGCGTGGTGCTTCGCACATGGTCCTCAACAGAGACTGGCATTTTGAAGTTGTTGGCGGGGGCTGTGGATTGCCTTTCTTCCTTTCTAACTCAACGGCAGCTAAAGCCACTGCACACAATGCAAGGACTGGCTCCTGTTTGACCATGTCTGATTGTAGCCCCTGGTGAAATGAGAACCCTGTGGGTCGGAACAAAATTTGGATTATTTATGTGGCAAGTAACCAAAATCTCAAGTGAAACTGGTTTAAACAATATATTTTTATTATTTATTTACTTATTTATTTATCTATATTTAATTCTTTTTTAGAGACACGGTCTTCTTATGTTGCCCAGGCTGGTCTTGAACTCCTGGCCTCAATGATATTCCCACTTCAGCCTCTCTAGTTGCTGGGATTATAGGTGTGAGCCACCATGCCTGGCTTAAACAGTATAAAGGGAATGCATTGGCCCACACAGTGGAAAAAATAAAATCTAGTAGGAATAGGACTTCAGGTGAAGTTTGATCCAGCAGCTCAAATGTCACCACAGGCCTGGATTCCTCTGGCCTTTCTCAAGGTCTCTTTCATTTTCATGCTCCACAAGGTGGCTTCTGCCAGGCTGACCTCCCTCCCCTGACCCCAGTAGCTCTGGTCACCCCTCTCAATGCCATTTATATTGTTGCATCAATAGGCTCATTTCTATATACTGCAAGGTTCAGAGAAGAGAGAATCTCTCTCCCAAGAGCTGTAACAGAAGTCTGGGGGTCCTGGCTCTCATCAGCTTGAACAGGCCCACATGTCCACTCCTGAACCAGTATTTGTGACCAGGGGGATGTGGTCTATCTCATCCAAACCTCACTTGAAGTGAGGGTAGGAGGAGGAGTACTCTGCAAGGACTCTAGGTCTCAACCACCAAAAAGGTAGATGGGTTGGTGGGAAAAGCCAGATGCCTACTACGGTGGTGGGTGGGGGAGGGCACGCTGGCGAGGTGCGGCAAGAGGCAGGGGCAGTGCTGGCCAGGCAAGGGCTCCTCCCTAGCACGACTGGAGAAAGGACTCCTGTGAAGCGGCCACCTCCATGAGTCCTTGCTGTCCTGGCTTCCAACCACTCTGAGGTGGGGCTTTCGTCTGCAGACCTGGCCTCTGCTGCCTACCCTCTTCTGCCCCCACCCGATGGGGCTGCTTTCCTTCTGAAGCAGCCACATTTTGGGTTTTTCTCCACAGGAAGAGTTGGGGGTCACAGGCACACCCTCTCCCTAACTCTTCTCCCCCAGTTCAAACTGGATCCAGGGATCCACACTCTGCTCCGAGAGGCCAGCACGCAGCCACTGGAAAATGAGCCAGTGGGAGAGGCAGCTCCATGTGTACTGATCAGCAGACTGTGTCTTTTTGTTTGAAACTTCTAAATAAGATGACAAAAAGAAAAACAATGGAAGCACTGTGTGTTAACTGCATTGGTTAACCAACACTGGAACCCAATACACTCTTGTATTAGGCCCGCATTTACCTGAGTACTCAGTGGTTTTCTGTCCTAAGCATGCTCGCCTGCTACAACCCATGGAGGAAATAAATAGTGAAACACTTTCCTCATCTTGAAGGCAATCGTCTCAGGCATCCTCCAGGCATAATGAAGGGGGTGAGCAAGGGTGCGAGGCGGAAAGGTCCAGGCCGCAGCTGTGACTCCCGCGGGTGAACCACAGCCCCAAATCCAAAGACGCTCTTGCCACATCATGACAAGTGTTCAAAAGAGAACCAGGTCCAGCCCTGGAGAAATGAAACCAAAAGCCAACTGAAAGAATGACCCTCCCCCAAAAAGCGACCCTGCCCGCAGGCCATCCAAGTGCGGTGAGTTCGGACAAGAACTGACAGATGCTGCTGGGCCGGTGCAGGAGGTAGAAGCAGCAGTGGAAGGCTGTTGTGTGCCGCCCCTCCCTGGGAGCTGGGGAGATTCCCAAGTCTTAGTGCAGTGTTTCTTTACAAACGGGATCAGGAGACCCTCACTGGCAGGCTGACAACTTAGAAGCAGACTGTGGGAGCAATAGGCTGGAGTTTTCATTTTCCCTTTAAACTCAAGACCGGAAGGTTTGTGTTATGCGATACCATATGCTGTGTAGAAAACAGGGCCTCAGCTTCTTAGATGTTGTAGTTCTAGAGTTTAGGTACTTCCACCCTCTCTCCTATACATAAACACTCAGGGGAAGAGGTTCTTTGAAAATTGGGGTGGTGCAGGAAGGGCAACAGTGGCCGTGAGCAGGCCCCAGGGTCGGCCCTGCCGCCCTGCCGTGTGGGGTGGGGAGACCGCTGGTGGTGTGGACACATTCACAGAACTTTGTACTGGTCCTGGGAAGATACAAGTCCTCACTTGGTCACCATCCCTAATATTTTCCAGTGTTTTCTTTTCCAGTCAACTTTTCATGATGAATGACTTCATGTAAGAGGATATTAAGAAAAGTGGCCACATGATTTCCCTTTTTTTTTCTTTCTTTCCAAGAACATTACCAGGTGCCAGCAGGGAAAGGACCGCGCTGCCTGACGTCTCTCCCACCTGAGGGCGCAGAGGCAGGGAGATCACAGCGCCTGAGGTTTCCCTCCACGGAGAAATCGGAGACCTCAACGTGCTGCCCTCTAAAGCAGCTTTCTGTATCCAGACAAAACTTACATACGTACACGTTGTTTTAAAACGACATACTCATGTGACATACATGTATATAAATTCATGTTTATATATGACAATTGAGCAGGGTTAAAGAACAAGATAATTCTGGATGGAAAAATCAGCTTGCCTGGGCATCTCTGGTCAAGTGAATTCCCTCTTCCCTTCCTCAGTTTACCCTTTGGTGACCTGCACTGTGGTTGCAGACTCCAGGTGGTCCTCACGCATTTACAGAACTGTCTGCTTAGATTACAGCACTTTGGGAGGCCGAGGCGGGTGGATCACGCGGTCAGGAGATGGAGACCATATTGACCAACATGGTAAAACCCCGTCTCTACTAAAATACAAAAATTAGCCAGGCGTGGTGGCGCGTGCCTGTTTTTCCAGCTACTTGGGAGGCTGAGACAGGGGAATCGCTTGAACCTGGGAGGCAGAGGTTGCAGTGAACCGAGATCATGCCACTGCACTCCAGCCTGGTGACAGAGTGAGACTCCGTCTCAAAATAAAAATAAAAATAATAAAATGATAAATGGTTCTTTTCTATGTATCTAATGAATTTAAGTGCTTGCTAAGACTAAAAACCACATTATGCATTTCCTTCTCTTAAAACTAAATTATGTGGAAAGTAAGCTAGGGAGTGTGAGGGTGGGCATCTGGATATAAATGCTTCTCCCAAGTCAAGATCTTCTCTTCAATCTGTGCCTTTGACCCTGTCACCAAAGGCAGGTGACAGAAAAAAAAATATGTGACTTTTGGAAGACTCGGTGGGACGGTTCTGATTTCACTCACTTCCGGTGCCCCGTACCATGTGGCTGTCGCTGTTTTGTGTCTCTTCCTGCATAAATAATGGTGGATGGCACCTACCTCCCCAAGTTGGTGCCCACAGAGGGGGAGGCACCTCTACCTGACACAGTTGTCTGAGCAGCAGTCCAGAGAGGTTTACTCAGGGGATTTGGGGAGAGCACACTCTGGGGCCAAAGTACAGGTATGTGCCCGAATCCTACCTCATGACAGGCATTCATGATACGAACCACACAGCCTTTAAAGAAAAGCTTTTATATGAAAGGTTCCATTCTGTTTCTGTATAAAGGGCTTTTATCCTGTAAGGAAAAAAAAAAAAAACCCTAAATATAATAAATGCCTGTTTTCTACAAAAACAATGTCTAACTCTGGGTGGACTGATCTCTTCTCAACAGCCCAGGGCAGGGCTGGTCCCTCATTCACCTGTGTCCACAGGGCCAAGGACACTGCACACACTAGGACAGGATTTGGCTGAATTTAAATCCTGCCACCCACCAAGGAGACTTGGGGATATTTACTGGTTGAGGGCCACACTGAACAATCACTGCAGAGAACCACCTCTTTTCCTTACTGTAGTTTAAGTATGATACGTGGGTTTTGCTATTACTTACTGGAAAAACTAGTAAGAAAAGCTCATCTTCAGGCTTCAATGTGATTTGACGTGCAAACGGGAAGTTTTGCCAGGGGTTAATAAAGATTGTGAGTTCTGAATTCCTAGCCGAATATGGCTTTGCTGGAAAGCCCCCTGGAGGGGAGGCTGGGAGGGCTGACCAGGTGGTCATCGGGGCAGTGGGACGGACGCACGCTAGGGCCTGGCTGCCTGCTCTGCAGAATGGATGGGGGATCCACAGTGCATCCCCCTTCCAAGCCCAGGAGACATCTGTCGCCTTCTCTTTGGTAGACAGTCTGGAGACAGCAGAAACCCTCTGCTCTGTTTTTTGCTGCTCTAAATACAGC